ATGTTTTTTACTGACTTTATCCCTTTTTTTTTTTTTGGATTTATGGCTCAATTGAACCCCTTTTTCCTTCATGGGAGTTGAACCCGCATCATACAAGTGAGGGGTGTTAGGTTGACCCACTGCGACAACCCTTAAGTGATAGATTTTGTTTTTGAATTCAACCAAACTCACCTATCTAGTATTGGATTGAAAACCAACCAAAAGAGTGAAAGAAGCGGGCTTATAAAATTGAACAAAAAGAGTGAAAGAAGCGGGCTTATAAAATTGTATCAAACACAATTATTTGGAATGAAACTCATAGAACCGAACTTTCCAACTAAGCACAACATTAACTTGTTTCTACACTATTATATATCATTGTAAACCTAAAATTTTATGGGAGAATTATCATTAAGGTATAGGAAAAACTAAAATTATTAAAAAGGGCTGCCTTTTATTGCTAGAATGAAAAATACTTTTATTGTAACTTTAATTGCTAAAGAAACTACTATATCCTTCTCGCTAAACAAATACCACTAATTTCATTGTGTAGTCAAAGTTTTCAAGTGATCTCATTTTCGCCTCCCCTCATAAACTTATCCTCCGGCCTCTGCTGGTAGCCACACTCCCATAAACTCGCTTGAAATTTGCTTTGTTTGATTAAAATTACTTTACATGGAAATATGCGAGTTTATTTATCTAAATATTTTGTCATGGGAGGTGTCTAGACGAAACTATATCTTGCTAAAGGAGGTAGACAGGAGTATATCTCTCAGATTTCTGAAATCTGAGAGCAAGGTTGATTTGGATTTCCAAAATCCAAGAAATGATAAATCCAGATTTAGTGAATCCGATCAATGTTTAATTAAAGTGTTTTATCGAACATAATTAATCCACTCCCGGACTTAGGAAATTCAAAATCAATGAATAAAAAAATTGTTTTCGGCAATAGAAAAATATTTCAAGTGTTGTGATGTAGAATTGAATGAAGTCGGACTATCGAAATCCAAAAGTAGTACTATCGGTTTCTTGAAACCCGAAAAAAATATTTATTTTACTCTCTCATTTATCTGAAGACATTATTCATGCTACAGGCACGTTACTTTTTATTTTTTCCTTCAATTTCGGATCTTTAGTTGGAATGGTGAAAGGATGTAAGAAAAATGTTGGATGATGAAGAAAATTATTTAAAGTAACATAACTATGTTCGGGTGGGATAATTTACATTAAAAACAAAATAATCTTAGATTTGAAATTAATTTGATCTTTCAAATTTTTAAAACTTAATTCCCTTAAACTAAATAGCAGCCAAAATTCTTTTAAATTCTTAGTATCCCAATAACGAGCTGTCACAAATTAGATATTTATTTTACACAAATCAATTTTGATTTTTTTTTTGGTAAATCGCAGACAAAAAGATTGATAAACACGGCATGAGTTTATATAGGTGGCATAAGTTTACTTCATAATATTTAAAATTTTGGGGTAATTAGTGATGGTGTTTGACGGGCTTAGATCAAGGGTATAATTTTACTTTCTTTTGGATATGGTGACGAAAACAAATGACATTCAAAAATTAATATCTAAATGCCCATCGTGCAATGTCGTTGTGTCTAAGGCATAAAATATCTTTGGACAAGTAATTAGATAATACTTTTGAAGAATTTCTCTTTGGATAAGTAAATAGTGCTTGGTTCTTCTTTCTTTCTTTCTTTTATTATTATTTGTTTTTTAGTTTAACGGGATGTTCAAATATAGATGAAAAGATGAAATTGAAGATCGAATGAGATCTACCTTTTTTTTTTGTGTTGTTCAGCGGGTGTAAAAAATTTCTAAAATTGCAGCCAAAACCGTTGTTGGTTTTTAACCTACTAAAAACTCAGAATCTTTTAAACAAAACAATACATAATGGTGTATTGTAAAAGATGAAAATAAAGATAGAATGTGACTCGCTGAAATACGACCCTTTCATAGTTTGATATTTCTTTGGACAAATAATACTTGTTTCTTTTTCTTTTCTTTTTTTTTGGCTCAACGGGCTGTCAACAAAATAAAGATGGAAAGTTAAAAATGATGATGAAATGATATCCGTCGGGTCTTCCTCCTTTTCTTTTTTAATGTGCTGTAAAAAAAAAACTATAATTGTAGCCAAAACCATTGTAGACTAAAGATTCGGAACTTGTTAAACAAGACGATAGATAATGACATGTTGTTAAAGATAGAAATGAAGATGGAATAAGACCCGCCAGAAGACGACCTATTCTTAATTAGATTACACTTTTGAAAAAATTCTTTTTGAACAAGTAGCATTTGGTTCATTTTTCATGTGTGTGTATTTAACGGACTGTCAAAACTGAATAGAAAGATGAAAATGAAGACGTAATCAGATTTGATGCTTCCTCTTCTTTTATTTTTGTTGAACAGGCTGTCAAAAAATTGCTAAAATAAAAACCATCACAAGTTTATAACCTACCAATGATTTAAGTAGAATGATTTAGAGTGACATGCTATTAAAGATGAAATAAAAAATAAAATGAAATCCATCAGAAGATGGTCCTTTTATAATTAGTGAGAATGGTGTATTTTTGTTTTTTCATTAGTCATTATCCCATTTCACTATTATTTATCACTGTTTCTCATTGCTATTCAGAAATTAGGTTTCGAATGTAAAAGGAAAAAAATAGATATTAAACGAACTAAAATGAAAGTTTTTTTTAGTTTTGCTTCCAATTATCCTGAGTAGTTTTTTCACTACTAAACAAATCTTTTCATAAGACATTTTTATTCATTGACTTATTAAACTAAACTATTCCCCACATCCTAAAAAGTTAGCCCATATCTTTTTTTTTTAGGAGAATCCAGGGTGGTACCTGGCGGGAGGACCCCGATTTTATTAATTAAAAATAAAAGTTACATAAGGCAGTGCTTAAGACTTACCCAAATGAAAAAGAATTGTCTTACAAAGTTTTCTAGTAAAACTCCTGACGATTCTTGTGCAACTACACTAGGAACTGTCTTACAAAGATAGAACTATAATCCCCTGACAGTTCACTTGTCCTATCTAGGTACCTAGGAGCTTGTCTTACAAAGATTAGAAACATTAATCCCCTGGCAACTCCATCTAGACTTTGAAGATTTAGAGACTATTTAATCCTAATATAAGGGAATGAAGATTGATCCAGGTGAACTTTTCCACGGATTGATACTGGAAGTTCACCATAGTTATTATAATGACATGAAACTCTAGCCGAAGCTTGTTTCGCAAGATCATCAGCCACGCTATTTACCTCTCTGTATATGTGCACAACTTTTGATTGCGATTGTTTTAACATGCTCTGGATGCCGCAGAAATGACGATAAAGTTTCCATGGATAGCTATGGCCCTTTTGTAAACATACTGTGATGACCTGGTTGTCTGTTTGAACCTCAATAAAGCGCAAACCTCAATAAAGTTAGCCCATATCATATTTTATAATTTTAACTAAAAATAATTAATCAAAAATGCAATATGGACAATCTTTTTAGTTTCGGAAGAATATTATCAAAAACACAATAAGGCATTTTTAGTTTTGGACAACGTTTCGTTTGCGTTTTTTATTTCGTTTTCGTTTTAAATCCGAAAATTATTTCAGAAGATCTTTTGAATTCAAGTTGAAATAGTAGTGTAAGTAACATTGTTAAGACACTTGTATGTTTGGATGATATTTTATTTAGAGTCACATACGAAAAATCATCACTAAACTAAGAAAATGTCCCCATTTTGGTCACTATAAAAGTAGCCTTTTGGCAGAAATGGTCACTACATAATGATTTTGCAGACGTACATTTCGACCTAAACTATTAACCGTTGTAAGTTTTAGGTCACTTAACAATAACATGCATAAATGGTCACTACAATAGTGGATATTGCAACCCTCTGATATATGGCTGCCATTTTTCTTTTTCCAGGTAAGTACCTAGGAAAAAATTCTCGAGACAGTGCTTAAGACTCACCCCGTACAAAGAGAAACCGTTATATAATGACGGTGATTTAAAAACTAATAAACTATATCGCAAAAAAAAGACTAGCCGGTAATACACTTGTCTTCGTCAGAAATTACAGTGTCGCGCTAGAGGACAGTAATCATTGTCTCGTCACCGTGATTCGCATCTTTCGGATCACCATTCATGGACTACTGCATTTGGTGGGCATATTTGAGAATCCCGAACAGTGAGTGATATACAAAGAATTTAGAATCGTTGCCTCCAAGTTTTCACTGACATTTTGAATCAACATCACTAAACTATTAAAATGTCCATTTTGGTCACTACAAAAGCATTATTTGGCAGAAATGGTCACTACACTAATATCCCAGATGTGCATTTCAACCTAAACTAACCGTGCATTTTTGGTCACTTAACAATATCATGCAGAAACGTTCACTACACTATCGACATTTTGAATCAACATCACTAAACTATTTGTCTGTTATGATGATCGTACTTTTTTATTGTCCTATTTATAATTTATGAAGCAAATGACAATGTAGACTATGTACAAGTTGGTTAGCACTCTTCTTTATTGACTTGTGATGTCATGTAAACTATGGATGCAACTTCTAATCCATTTTCTAAAGTCTGTTTGTTTCGGACGCTAATGAATGGTACTCATACATTGCTACTTGATTATTGCTACATTATTATTCTACTAAACACACATATAGTATCGAAAATTCATAATCAATTTCACTACATTAGTTTTATCTACTACCTTTTCGCTTAACTGACCATCGTACACAACTCACCAACAGTCGTGGTGACAAAATGCCGACATATGTCATTCTTAATTTAACTACACTACTATTGTCATAACATTACCATACTAGATACACAGTAAGCGGGGAAACTATGCGTTACAGTAGCATATATAGTACATCAATTTTCCTACAAAACAAAATGGTCTATTCCCAATTCCCACTTCTATTGCCCATGCTATCTTCATATCTGCCAAAACAGTTCAGGTGTACATCTCACCCGAACACTCAACAAGCCTTAAGCTTGATTCTTAGTTTCCTTCCAGCTGACAATGATGTTTTATTTTTAACCTCATTTGAGCGTCCATTAGCTTTTGAAGCCACGACATCTCCTTTAGGTGCTGCAGGAACCTCCTGTCACAAAAATATTAGCTACAATTACACAATGCAGCTTTAAATTTGGAAAAAACAATACCTACACACTCTTCGCCAAAAGGTTCTACCTACCAACGTGTTGTGTATGACATATTGCACTTTTGCTCTACAGTTTAGTTCTGAAAAGTAAATGGACATTGTTGGTATATACATTCATATAATTGCACCTTGTCCAATCTGGGTTGTGTGGAACAAGTCATGTGAACCATGAACATCAAAATATTTAATTAAAACCAAATTTGGAAAACAATGTTCCGAAGAAGAATAACGTCCAGAAGCTGTAAACCGTCATGTTTTCCTTTAAGTAAACACCTGCAGACCTGATTTGCTGCTCCGACTGAACCATTAGTATCCACATCATAAATCAGGACATCAGATGGTGGCGTCGGTGTCGGCCGACATTCGCTTCCTTTGTTTGGAGGGTTATCATTTAGGTTGACTTGTTCTGCTACACTATGATCTGTAAGTTTTAAACAGAACTGACATTAATATATGTTGGTTAAACAAACCAACAGAGAAGAGCAAGTCATGTTTTCCATTAAAAAAAAAACACCGTCCTACCTGGTTTGTTACTGCAGGGGAACGGTCAACCATTTCGGCTGGTTGCATCGATTCATCGGATGATGCATCAGTTGCGGTACTACCATTTCTTTTACATTTTTGACATCGGTCATTCAACCTCGAGTGTTGTGCAACATTTTCTTTCTATGAAATACACATCAAAACTCATATTAACATGACTGGAACCCAACTAATATTGGTACCACTTACTACTAAAAATTTAATGCAATTAAGTTTTCCAGAATTACACACCTGGACTGGATATGTGCATCTTCTGACATTGTAATCATCACCTCCACATCTGCTACAATGCATCTTTACACGTATCTTCATCCTCTCTATTCCATCTTCATTTCAGCTGGTTGCATCGATTCATCGGATGACCCATCAGCTGCGGTACTACCATTTCTTTTACATTTTTGACATCGATCATTCAAACTCAAGTGTTGTGCAACATTTTCTTTCTATGAAATGCACATCAAAACTCATATTAACATGACTGGAACCCAACTAAAATTGGTACCACTTACTACTAAAAATTTAATGCGATTAAGTTTTCCAGAATTACACACCTGGACTGGATATGTGCATCTTCTGACATTGTAATCATCACCTCCACATCTGCTACAATGCATCTTTACACGTATCTTCATCCTCTCTGTTCCATCTTCATACAATCGATTTTCGTTATCTGGTGCTCGTTGTTTTGGTTGTCTTTTGCGTTTGTTTTCTGCTTTGACATTTAAAGCTTACTGTGCTATGCATCTCGCCTTGTATGCCTTGGAAAATGTGACTTTGATTTTGAAATCGTCATCCACCCACTTCTGAATGGCTGCAATCGATATGTCATGATGAGCTCTTATTTTTTCCCTGTATGTAGTTGCCAACCATCTTGCAGTCACCTTCTTGTTTGTGTTCTCCGGGGTGTAAGCCATGCGAATATCTCTGATAGAATGCACGTAAAAAAATTCATTGCCATCAACCGTAGTCTTCTTCGCATAAACGAACCATTTGTATGGTTCTTAGCACTTAGCCCTGAGTCTCGTAGAATCATTTGTGTATAGGTACAATGGTCTACCTGTCAACATCATGTAACTTTTGATTGTATTTTTAAAGTCGTCCTTACTTCAAAACTTGTCACCAATCCAAAACTGTGGTACACCATCCAAACTCCGGTAATCTGTGCACCGACCTACCTGGGCATCACCTTCATCCTCTGAATTTGCCTTCTGCTAGGGTTCTACAGTTCCATTCTCTTGCCTGCTGTCAGTCCCATTATTTGGACACTGCTCTTTAACCGCATGCTTCGGTTGGGTGTAAATTCTCCCATTACCACATTTCGCTGATTGCCCCTTCACTGTTTTTCCCTAGTGAAGACCTTCACTAGATCTACAGTTATCATCTATGGTAGCATTGGTTCTTGCGTCATGGTTCCCTAAGGCCGGTTGACTCGCTCAAGATGTACCCCTGTCAAACGACTCAACATTGAAGTCTGTTTCACCTGTATCTTTCTTCATCATATTAGATACAAAGACACCAAAAAATACTTCATCCCTACACAGCTTGTACACCCTATCCAAGGTTTCAGCATCATTTTCAGGCGCATCCTTAAGAAGTGTTGCTTCATGGCCAACATGTTTGTGCAATTCTTCATCCTCCGTTGCTCCAGCTACGCCATCATAACCTGTTGCAATCCCCCCAGCATGCTGTCTTATAAATTCTTCGTTTGCAACTTCTTCCATATGGTCTCTATTTAATGATATGCTCCCTGGAAACTGACATCCTTCATCAATTCCATGTCCTGGGTCCTCATCAATGATGTTTGCATATCTCGTAGGTTCAACTTCGTTAATTCCCAGTCCGGATTCTTGAATGTTTGACATTGGATGTGATACGCCATCCCCTTCAGCAGTGGTCTTGTTCACACCAAGAAACTTCTCCCTTTCACCTACAATATCCGGTTGAAATTTCCCATGACGCTGCTCTTCACAGTGTGCAACTTCAGCTAGCACCGTTGAATCTGGATGGTTAGGCACTGGGATTGAAAGGTCACTTCCTTTAGCATCAGAATGGTTCACTGCATCCGCAACCTTGCCTTCCAATGTGTCTTCACTGGTTCCACAAGCATTCTTGAATGGCATTCCAAGAAGGTCAAGGAATTCTTGATCAACCAATGTTTTTCGTTCTAGTATTGGGCCTTTTTTAACTGGTTTATTATTTGGCTTCACAAATCTAGGTGGGGTGTGGTTTTCATCACCAATCTCCTCTATGGTGGTTGCAGAATTTTGAATGACATACACATCCCCTTCTCTTTAGACCACATTGTATTCTTTCTCGGCGAACCCGTCATACACCTTCCCCTGATCTTCGATAAATCTTTTCTTAGCTTTCTCTTTCGTTTAATGCTCACAATAAACATCCAAAATCCTATAGTCTGGAACCAATTTCAGAAAGTCTCTTAAATGTGAATTTTCCACTAATGGATGTAATCCACCATTGTAGTCTTCCTCAGGGTGCCTGTAGTAACAAAACACAATGCTTTCCTGGTCGTAGCCCAATCTAACTAATGCAACACTCATTTCATTAAGGTTGAAATTAGCACAATGGCAAGACTCAAGGTATGAAACCTTTCCGCTAATGTATTCCCAAGGAGAAGTATCGTTTAGTTTGCCACCATGATGAATTATGATAGTGAAATATTTGCTGCCCCTTTCTGTAAGAATGAAGTGTAACTGATGAGGATATTGTCAAACTTGGCAATGAAGAAATATAAAGGTCATTCAATTCATGGAGAAATTGCCACCCACAATTGCAATTGAATATTTCAGTGGAGGTTAAAAGTACAACATAAGAATCTAAATTCTACCAAACATACAAAAAAGACCTACAAAATTACACCCTCTCCCCCCACAACTACAAGATATACTGAATAGTACAATGACCATTTGCAAAACGATACAATAGTTGAGTGATCATTTGCAAAAGTGATAATAATATGATAACAGTAGTTGACCCATTGACTTTTTCCCAATTACTATTTACATTTATTTACTACTCCCCACTTTACTATTTATTAACACCACTCTTTTTTCTATATATAATAACAAATCCTAATCGTTTCACCAAACCAAAAACCCTAATTTTGATTGGGTCAGCAATCAGATCCAAATACCCGTTCCAGATACCATCCCCTAACACCATTCATAATCCAAAGACCGAGGAAAGAGTTGCCTTGTGCATCAGGAATGCATCTTGGACGCCGGTATCTTTGCTCCATCATTTTCCCCGCAAATCTCTTCGACTGCCCTATGGCTAATTATAGTCAAACAGTATCATTTGGGAAAATGGTGATAGAGAATGTAACTTGTGGCAGATGCGGGAAGAAAGCCATCCTAGTTCCGTCAGCATCAATTGATAATCCAGGGCGTCTCTATTATAGATGTACACTCCATGGCTTTTTGAAATGGTTTGTAGCCCAATCTCACACCGATTCTGGGTCAACTTCACAATAGATGCGGAAAAGAAATGTTGTAACTGGTTAATCGGAAGATGGGATTGAGCAGATTAGTAAAGGAAAAGAGTATGCGATTGAGCAGATGAAGCAAGAATTTGTATCGGGTAAGTATGAAATGGTTGGGAATAATTCAACGCTATTTTGCTGCAAGTGAAAATCAAAATTGGATGTGATTGTAGGGTTTGTCCTGAATGTCATGAGTTTGCTCCTTGTGCTGGTAGTTCTGTGTAAGACATAGATGGCCAAGTTCCAAGTGCATTGGGTTTTTTTTGTGTTTTCTTTTTCTAAAAAATAGTTTTTGTAGATAGAACTAATGTTTATCGTGGTTCTTTTTCAAATTTGGTTGAACTAGATATAACCATTGCCAATTTCCCTATCATTCGGTAAGCTGTAGATGGACTAGCTTTGCAAGGTTAAAATCCCTTGTTATGTACGATCTAAAACCGATGTTAAATATGTGTTTACTGTTAAGACGAGTTGATTTTATTATGTAAGTCCTAAATAGTAAAAAGACCTAATGTTAATCCACTGTTTATTATTCAATAAGGATTTCTCTTATTTCCATTGTTTGCGAAAATCATGTAAGAAATTTCGTGATATCCTTTATTTGGTCATAAAGTACCACTTGTTGATAGATGCTGCATACATCCGTTCAAAATATCGGACAGTACTGATTAGTTAAGAAACAAATATTACTCCAGTATTTACCTCTCGCGCGTTGTTTCATTTTATTTTGCACCCTCAACATTATAATCCTGGATCAGCAACTTGGTTCAACTCCGGTTTTTTTGACGGTTTTACACATGTTTTTCGGCCAATTTCATCCAAGATTGTGTTTGGGTATAACTTACGTAACATCCAAAATATGATAATGATTGTGATACTACCAATAAAACCACAAATACAACTACTATATGTTATTAATAAATATATTTATATGTATTATATGTAATTATAGATACACGACACTTTTTTATTAGATACTCCCTCTGTTCCATAATTATTGTCCAGTTTTACTAAAATGAAATATTTTATTTTTGGTCAAACTTCATTATATTTCACCTTAAACAACCGGATATACCCCTACATAAGTAATTGTTTAACCACTAAGATTTTATGGATAATGTTTTTTACTAAGAACAAATGTGTAACTTGATCCATAAAAAGTAAAATTGGACAATAATTTTGGGACAAAATTTTTTGGGCAAAGTGGACAATAATTATGGGACGGAGGGAGTATATTGTTAATTCATATACCACAAAATATCTTACAGAACCTAAACCGTGATTATCTATATAATGGACTGGCTATTGCTAAGCGTGACAGGCTCATTTTTGAGAGTGCTCAAAAACACCAGTGACCAATTTCGACACTTTACAATTTTATGGTGATGATTTTATGCATGGTAGTTCAGTGATGCATATTACTCTAAAAATAAGTTCAGCGACCAATAAATTAAGTAGTCGATAGTTCAGTGAGTCATCATAACTCAAGAATCCACAGATCCGTTGGAGCTGGTAACCAAACATCTTACAAATCGAATAGAACATAACACTTAATAAAGACCACATAACCTCTACATAGGCAATACAAATGTTTTCCATCACAAAAAATTCTCATTCTTTCACCTCCCGTGATCCCTCCACATAGCCTTCGCCACAGCATCCCGAAACTCATTCCATCTATTTATCCCTTGTCGAGACTGGTCAAGTCTTTGATATTCCCCAACATAGAGGCCACTAGCATCCTGTTGTGCCTAGAAAACAATATCATCAGCCTCGTCACCATAAGTAGGGAAGTGATCCCTATGGAGGTTGTGAAAAGTACAAGATGCTATGATATAATCCCTTTGTGTGTTAAGGGACCACCGAAACATTGGACCCCATAGCATGTGAAATCGGTTTTTGACCACCCCGAAAGCTCTCTCTATAACATTTCTGATGGATGCATGATTATGATTAAACAAGTCTTTGATAGAATCCGCCTCCTGATCTTCCTGGGGACGCTCCGCAATGTGGTAAACATGGTTTTTGAATGGTGCTAAAAAATCTGGTATGTTTTTGTACCCCGAATCAACCACATAATACTTTCCTAGGGGAGGGAATGGAAACCCCAAACTCGCATTTGTTACTGCAGCATCAAAAAACTGCAGCATTATGAGCGCTGCCTTCCACACCAGCGCATACGAAAGTGAAGAGTCTATCACGGTCAACTACCATCATTACATTAGTAGTCAATTTCCCATGCCTATTATGATATCGGGTTGCAGATGTTTTGGTACTCAAACATCAATGTGTGTCACATCAATTGCGCCGACACAATCCTTGTAAAAGTCCACATGATAAATTGTATAAAACAATTGCAAAAGATATAGGTAAAGCAAAACGGTATCAAAATTAATTTGGACCAGAATCAAATAATGGAGACTGAAACAAAAATGTACAATAAATAAAAAAGATGTGACCAATGTTATAATACCTTAAAGTAAGGAAAAAGAGTTGCACTTCGTGCAATCTTTGGATGAGTTGCACTTTGGAAGCGAGGACAAATAACAAGGCTGCCAAACCTAGCAACTGCCTCTGCCATGTCCTATAAGTTGCGTGACACCGTCTCAAGAGAGCACTCAAACCTATCTGCAATATCACGTGTTGTTCACTTTGTTGCAATGGTGTACATAAACATGAACAAAGCTTCATCAATGTGAACTTTGGTGTTGGAATTTTCAACCCAAAAGCCATTGTCCACCAAGCCAGACCGCAACGCATAATGCGTTGCATGATTTAGTCGAGTAGTTGAACGGAGTTTCCATGGATCGGAATGATGAAGTACTCGCTGGACGTATTGTGCACCCGTCAACGGAGGCGTCAAATATTGTGCATTCAAAACTCCTTGTTCATATGATACAGGATGTGTAGCATTAACAAATCCATAAAATCTTCTTCATCAGAGTCACTATCATCTGATGAAATGTCCTCCATTTCTTCATCATTGTCAGTGGGGTATAAAGATGGACCAGCCCCATTCATTTTGTATCTACACAAATTTGGCAAAATAGAATAATAAGATAGTGGTCTGGGTAAATAAAGTCAAGTAAGTTTATGGGCAACCAAATTGCTACTTTACAAAATCAATAGGAAAAATTAAAAGCAACATTAGTTCCTGGTGGAGTTGTCATTGAACCACTTCCCGAAAGAAAGATTTATAAACCTACTTAAAACTATTAGCTAGCGGTAAGCAGGGTTGTTCCACAGAGACGGCAGTCAATCCCTCAAAATCTGATTAAAGTGCATAAAGAAAGAAAGTGAGTTGAACAGATTGTCACTTGGGAGAGTGAGAATAGTGACAGAGTGAAGAGGCAGAAGGGTCAATCACCTTCCTATCTTTATGATCCAGTTTTGATTCAAATATTCCTGTAGTGTATGATTAGTTATTCCATCATGCACTTATATTCATTATATTCATTCCAGACAGAATAAAGAGTCCTAGATTATCTATATCACCTACCTTCCAGTCAGAGTAATTCATTAATCTAAGTCATTGAGTTCTTAAGCCCTCTTTGATCGCCTATGCCATTCACCTAACTTCCGTTGATATTTGGAACCGCAGGGTAGATTTCCTCCATTGTCATAGACTAGATTAAGCAGTTCTAAGGTTATGCTCCCCCTTCTAGATCTTTATAACCATGGAAGCACATTTAATTAAGTGGTCAAGTTAATGAAAGGTTTATTAAATCATTTATCTAGGCACAACACCTCATCAAGGAAACTGAATCAAAACCTTCACATAAAGGTAGTAGGGATTAAGCCCTTAACTGAGTTAACTACTCATGTTTATTGAGTTAAACATGAAAGCAACAAAGTACAAAAGATAAGGCATGAATCTAGATCAAAAGATTAGAGGAGAGAAAGGGAAGATGGTAGCAGGGACAGTTTATGTCTGCTCACTATGGCGAGTGACCTTCACCACTTGCTAGAGTGACAGTCTACCTCCTTGTTCCTATTACTACCCTGTTTCTAACCAACTAACTAACTACCTAACTACTGTCTTTGTGACTAAATCTAACTACCCAATCTATTGTTTTTCTAACTGCTATTGGCTGACTATTTATAAAGATTTGGAGAAACTTGTATTGGTTGGTTTCTGGCCTTCTTCCCTACAGTAGAAAGGTGAGGCAGCAACTTGCAGCAGTAGAGGATTGTTTATTCAGCAACTTGCCTAGTTGGCAAGTTGCAGTCTTCTCTCTGGCTGCTCCTTCTCTTCAGTCGCAATCAGCCACCTTCCTCTCATCATTGCCTTCTTCTTTTAGTCTTCCGGTGCAGTTTATCCAATTTGCAGCCACAAATCTCTATTTCTTCATTCTTTAATCTGCAGCAGCTCAACTAGCAGCAGTAGCAAGCAGTAGCATCAGCAGCATGCTTCCTTCCATCATTGTGTTTCAGCCCCCAATTCAGCCCAAATCTGTCCGCCTTTTCCTTCCTTGTTTCCTGTGATCACTTGCAACACCATTTCTCGTCTGACTGCAGTAGCCAATCCATCAACTCGGCAGCAGCAGTTACTACAGGTAAGTAGCAGGTTATAGATGCTGTCTTCCACATATTTTCCCTCTTTCTCTTCTTCAACTTGCAGCAGTTATAACTTGCAGTGATGACAAAGCAATTCCTTCCTTTAGCAGCAAGAATTCAGCCTTGGTTCTTTCTGATTGACAACAACAACAGTAACTGCAGCATTAACTTGGCAGCAGAGCAGCTCCATTTCTTCTTCCTCTATTGAGGTAGCTACTGTAGAGTCATCTACTTGAGCCCATCTACTATCACTCTTCCTTCCACAGCAAGGAATTCTCCACCTGCTTCAGCTCTAATCGATCCTCCAGCAGCTCAATTTCCAGCATTCCAGTCCATTTTAATACCCTTTTGTTTAATTTGGCCCTCATTTATACTGATTTTCTACATTGGCCCTCTAAGATAATAGAACTGCAAAAGTACCCCAAAAGTAAACTAATTCTAACTAATTGACACTAAATTATAAGTAGAAATGAGTTAGAAATGCCTGTTAAAAGTGTATATATTTTTATGTTATCAGATACCCCTAAACTTGAAGTGTTGCTTGTCCTCAAGCAACAGACCCCAAACTCAGAGGTTTGTTGATCCTCTAGGAAACATATTCAAGCTACATTCCTACTGACCTAGACACAGAAGGACTAACTCAGAAAAAAGAAATGATATTTTTAAATTTTCATGGATAAGAGTAATGACAAAGATCGAAAAAGAATGTGGCTAAATGAACAGAAGTAAATGCAACATTGTATCAATGTTAGTCTCAGATTCAAGTCTCTTACTGGACAGATTATACACCATTGTTCATCACAGAAAGGCAGCATCACAGTTCTTCAGTGCGTGCATATGTCACAGCCAAAGTTTAAGTTTTACCTATCATCCATTCTAAGAATTAACTAATTTAAGAACAAATGGACATCATTGTGATCAGTACCTATTTCCTGCATGCGATCAACTAGGGTATTCTTACTAAGATTTTTAGATTCCAAGGACTTACTCACAGATTTTACAGCAACATTGGACGCATCTTATTTCTCCCTCATGCCCTTTTTCTCCTTATCCATATGGTTTTTCTTCTGGATCTTTTCCACTTAGGTCCCTACCCAAAGCATATTTCCACATAGTATTTATTCATAGTGGCTCAGCAACTTATGGCATTTCACCCAAAACATATTTCCACTAGTTACCTATAGTAATTTCTTATAGTGGCTCAGCAACTTAGAGTAGTTTATTCATTTTTTTCTTATTTCATCACCAGGCCTTAGGACTCTCTCTATTTTTGCCAAACCTAAATACTCAGGGGTATTACTGCCTCATTGGACAGCCTTCCTAACTTCTCTCACTTCAGAATTTTTCTTTTCAGCACATTTTTAACCTCCTACCATTCCCCTTTCCCAAGGTTTTTAGGCTTTTACGAACCACCATGGGCTCTTACAGAGTCTACCATGATGCGAAAGGTTGCCTTAGTCTTCACTCAGGTTTACAGTCCCTCCAGATTTCAGACAAGTGGACTCAAATATAAGATCACAACAATGTAATTAAGGTATTCAGATTTTATCATTAAGTTCAGAACTCTCACTTTGGCAAGTGACATATTGTGCTCAAGAAAGTGAAGAACTATGGGACTGACTTCAAGTGAATCAGCAAGTATTCAAAATTTCAAAGTTTCCTGCACATTTTTTAATCATCATAAACTTTTGACACTGTATATACACAGACTTATTCACAGTTGCACAGAATCTTAATTTTTTTTTTTGTTGTTTTTCAAAATTAGATCCTGTCAATGTTTAAAACATGTCGACACTTACAAATCCCTCCCCCAAACTTAAAATAAGCATTGTCCCCAATGCTTACAAACACAGAAAATAGGGGAAGAACAAACACAAACACTTAGGATACAATTTAACTGTAATCAGAAAAATCATCATACAAAGTGGACTCTATCTATCCTAAGGACTCTAGATGCATAGACTTAAAACACAAAAATACAAAAGCAGACCTAATTAAAAGAAACAAAAGATAAAAGAAAAATAAAAGAAAAACAAAAAGAAAACAGAGTATTTCCCTGGGTGATTAAGGGTTCATGTATGGGTCTGGTGGACCTTGTAGACTCCAGGGAGTTGGAATATCTCCTCTCTCATCTCCTGGCAGAAAGTGAACACCAGCTCTTATCATCAACCTTGTGGCTAATATTAGGAAGAACCAGTATTTCTGCCTCAGGTTCAAGTATCGATGCATTTGTCTTCCGATCACGTCTGTAGCATCTATAGAAATATTCATAGCAATGGCATACAACAAGATAGCTGCATCGAATGTCACCACTCCTCGATTATTAGAGGGCATCAAATTGATGCAAATAAATTTGAACCACCGTTTGTAAGTTTGCTTCAACTCTGCTATCGGAAAATTTTTCAGAGACCCATGACTGTCAATAGTCCATATATCCTCTGTTGCATCTTCACAAAGTGCTATCGGCAGTTCTCCTTCAGGTGTTTCATCTATCATATCGAACGCCATATCTTCATATGGAGGGATGTTGGCCAGTAATTCAAGTACTTCTCGAATGGCCACTCTATTGATATCGACTGACTTGCCTCTTACTACAATTTTATCTACATCCACTCCCCATAGATTGCTGTAGAATTCTCTGACAACTGTGAGGTTTGGTTGGACTGCGGTGTAGAATCCTTGCCAGCCACGATCAATTATTTATGAATGTGGGTCTGTTGATATGTCAACTTCCCTTTCCACAATAACCTTCCTTTCCCATGTTCTCTGATAGAATGCTTCCCCTCCAGGGGTTGTGATGAGGCCGGAATTTCTAATTCCACTGAGGCGATTCCGATGCTCTTCCCTTTGGGATCTAGTTGGATTCTTGGGAAGATGTGGTGGGAGAGAGACGATCCCTTGGATTCGGTATGCTCTCTTTCTGGCAGTTTGTTTGACTCTAGCCGTGGATGAATGTTTCTGTTATGGGAATGGTTGATTCTTTGATTCAAATGAAAGGGGTATATTTCAGTGGTTTCACTTGTGAAGTGTTCGGATTTGGGTTGCATTTCTTTTGGGGTTTTTTTTTAAAGAGTGGTCAATCAGGGTTATGGTAGAGTTGGAGGCATTTTTCAAAACTTGCAGAGAGTCGGGTAGTGGGCAACCATTTTCGTGAAGAATGGGGGTGATTTTTTTTTCCCAAATTCATCACGTTGACGGCTCAGGCACCCCACTTCTTTAAAAGATTTAAAACAAAGTTTTTCCTTCTTTTTTGTCAAATCAGAACGCGAAGTGTATGACGAATTGCAAGTCGCCCTTGGTCAATCATCTCAGTCATGAAAGTGAGTCCCTCACTCACCCAAGTGAGACGACCGGTCCTTGTTTCTTGCCGGTGTTAGATAATCAAGCTGAATTATTGCCGTTCTGATTATATCATAGTCGGCAAGGTACTTCAGGTTGAACATCCACAAGGTACAATTGAAAATTTACGATAAGAGTGCTACAACTCTTTCTGATTGCCATCAACAGATCGATTTAACAAAAGATAATTAAGACAAAACTAAGAAGAACAAAATAACTTACCTTGGGTTGCCTCCCAAGCAGCGCATTGGTTTAACGTCTCATGCGAGACTGATTGGTGCTCCTTACTTTGGTTTCTTCAATTGCAACACCTCCTTGTGCTGCATCTCAGCCATCTGATTTGTGTTGTGTGCTTCCCTTCTTTTGTGGTTCTCCAGTGTGTCACTCGGAAGAGTGCTAGCAGCTCTCTCTAGTATCTTCCTTGCCATTTGTGCAACCTGATTTTGCATATCTTTCACAGTTGCGTCAAGACTAGCAAGGACATTACCGACCTTAATCCAGTCTTCCTCCTTGACTCTAAATGGTTGATTCTGAAATACAGGTGGTTGAGCTGATCTCTGATAGCTCGACTGCTGATTGGTCCAGTTGTTGTTTTGTTGTGGCCTCCAATTGCTGTAATTGTTGAAGCCTCCTCTGTAACTTCTTGCCTCACGAACTGAACTTCTTCCATAGTGGCTTGACAGGTAGAGCTGGGGTGAGATCCTGTGCAAATTTCACAAACATCAAGCTTTGGTTTGTTGATGTCAGCTCTCAGCTTTGATATTTCACCGGAGATGGTTGCCATTTGTGCTTTCAAGTGGGTTGTAGCATCTAGCTCTAACACTCCTGCCTTCTTAGCTATAACTCTAGGCTCCTTCTGCCATCTGAAATGGTTAGCACACATATTCTCCAGTATTTGGATTGCTTCTTCCACATGTTTCATCATGAATGCTCCTCTAGAAGATGAATCAAGTGATTCTCTGGAGGCTTGTTGCAATCCATTGTAGAAAATACGTAGCTGCATTGGCTTTTCTACGCCATGTTGAGGGCACTTCCTCATCAGATCCTTAAATTTTTCCCAAGCCTCATAAAGAATTTTTGTTGCATGCTGCTGAAAAGTCATGATGGATGATCTTAAAGCAACAGCTTTGATAGGTGGGAAGAATTTTGTAAGGAATGCCTGTCTGAGTCCATTCCAGGAGTTGACTGAATTGTTGGGCAGAGTGTCCAACCATTTTGCTGCTAAGTCCTGCAATGTGAATGGAAACAGTCTTAAGTAAACCTCGTCCTTGGACAAACCTTGAATCTTGAAGGTGCTGCACAGTCTTCGGAATTTCCTGATGTGCTCATTGGGATCTTCACTAGGTGGTCCATAGAAAGGACAAGCAGCTTGCACCCATTGAATCATTTGAGTTTTGAGCTCAAAGTTCTCTGCTGCAACAACATTGTACACTAGTGGAGTTTGAACTTCTTCCTCTTGGGATACAAAATAATCTCTTTCCTGAGGTTGATCAGCTGCTGCTACCTCTGCCATCTGCTTCTGGTTCTTAAGAACACAAGCAGCAACTTCTCTGTTTCGCAAGGCTTTGGATCTCCTTGCCGTGATTTCAATTTCTGGATCAAAACTTAGCTCTCCTGATGGATTGCTTCTAGTCATAAACCAGTAATCAAAACACAAAGAATAACAATAGTAAGATTTGTGATTTAAGTGAGTGAATTTAATTGAAAAAAGAAAACTAAAAAGAACAAAAAAAAACAGACACAATAATCAGATTTCAAGGATTTTAAATGCCATCCCCAGCAGCGGCGCCACTTTTGGTGGAGTTTTCGTTCAAATACTTCCCAAAAGAAAGATTAATAAACCTACTTAAAACTATTAACTAGCGGTAAGCAGGGTCGTTTCACAGAGACGGCAGTCAACCACTCAGAATCTGAATAAAGTGCAGGAAAGAAAGAAAGTGAGTTGAACAGATTATCACTTGGGAGAGTAAGAATAGTCACTTGACAGAGTGAAGAGGTAGAAGGGTCAATCACCTTCCTACCTTTATGATCCAGTTTTGATTCAAATATTCATGTAGTGTATGATTAGTTGTTCGATCTGGCACTTATATTCTTTTTATTCCTTCTAGACAGAATAAAGAATCCTAGATTATCTAAATCACCTACCTTCCAGTCAGAGTAATTCATTAATCTAAGCCATTGAGTTCTTAAGCCCTCTTTGATCGCCTACGCCATTCACCTAACTTCCGTTCATGTTTGGAATCGCAGGGTAGATTTTCTCCATTGTCATAGACTAGATTAAGCAGTTCTAAGGTTATACTTCTCCTTCCAGATCTTCATAACCATGTAAGCACATCTAATTAAGTGGCTAAGTTAGTTAATTAAAAGGTTAATTAAATCACTTATCTAGGCACATTACCTAATCAAGGAAAATGAATCAAAACCTTCACATAAAAATAATAGGGATTGAACCCTTAACTGAGTTAGCTACTCATGTTTATTGAGTTAAACATGAGATTAAAAAAATAAAAAAGATAAGACATGGATCTAGATCAAAACGTTAGAGGAAAGAAAGGGAAGATGATAGCAGGGACAGTTTCTGTCTGCTCACTATGGCGAGTGGCATTCACCACTTGACAGAGTGACAGTCTGCCTCCTTGTTCCTGCTACTACCCTGTTTCTAACCAACTAAGTAACTACCTAACTACTGTCTTTGTGACTAAATCTAACTACCCAATCTGTTGTTTTTTTAACTACTATTGGGTGACTATTTATAGATATTTGGAGAAGCTTGTATTGGTTGGTTTCTAGCCTTCTTCTCTACAGCAGAAAGGTGAGGTAGCAACTTGCAGCAGTAGAGGATTGTTTATTCAGCAACTTGCCTTGCCTAGTTGGCAAGTTGCAGTATTCTCTTTGGCTTCTCCTTTTCTTCAGCCGCAATCAGCCACCTTCCTCTCATCATTGCCTACTTCTTTTAGTCTTCTTCTCCGGCGCAGTTTCTCTAATTTCCATCCACAAATCTCTATTTCTTCATTCTTTAATCTGCAGCAGCTCAACTAGCAACAGTAGCAAGCAACAGCATCAACAACATGCTTCCTTCCATCATTGTGTTTCATCCCCCAGTTCAGCCCAAATCTGTCTGCCTTTTCCTTCCTTGTTTCCTGTGATCACTTGCAACACCATTTCTCACCTGACTGCAGTAGCCAATCCATCAATTCAGCAGCAGTAGTTACAGCAGGTAAGTCACAGGTTGTAGCTGTTGTCTTCCACATATTCTTACTCTTTCTCTTCTTCAACTTGCAGCAGCTATAAGTTGTAGTGATGGCGAAGCAATTCCTTCCTTTGGCAGCAAGAATTCAACCTTACTTGTTCCTGATTGACAGCAGCAATAGCAACTGCAGCAGCAACTTGATAGCAGACCACTGCCATTTCTTCTTCCTCTATTGAGGTAGCTACAACAGAATCTTCCACTTGAGTCCATCTGCTATCAATCTTCCTTCCACAGCAAGGATTTCTCTACTTGCTTCAGCTCTGATCGATACTCCAGCAGCTTCCATTCCAATCCATTTTGATGCCCGTTTGTGTAATTTGGCCCTCATTTATGCTGATTTTCAACATTAGCCCTCTGAGATACCTGAACTGCAAAATCACCCCAAAAGTAAACTAATTCTAACTAATTGACACTAAATTATAAGTAGAAACGAGTCAGAAATCTCTGCTAAAAGTGTATATATTTTTATATTATTAGTTCCATTAAAGAAACTGGCATGTGTTCTTTGTAATTTTTGTGTGTTGCCTCTATCACGCAAGCGGCCAAAGCCTCCACCCCAACCCCCTTTCAAAACAAATATCCCTAATGGTTGATTTTCTTTCCCATACGATAGATAGTAAAAAATTTTGTGCATTTGAATTTGTCGTATGGACATTGATTCACCACTAATGGATTGCAAATGGGTTCAGTACAAATTGCCCCGAATTCGCATAAAGAACCATCTACATTCTTAGATCCACATATACTAAAAAAAAAGTAGCAACTTGTTAATCAAAAGTAATGATACAAGAAATTACCCGTTAAATCGTGGTAGGAGAAATGCAAAAAGTCACCCCTCTCTTTCCTTTTGTGTCACCGAGAATGCCAAAACCAGCAAAATGTAGGGGCAGTATATTTCCTTTTTCAGGTACAAGAAATAGATAAGGTCACAGTAGGAAGAATATGTGGTCCAAATATTGACTGCCTCCCTTATCATTTAAAATTGTAAATATGTTTAATTAGCTGTCATGTACAGTGTAACAAGAAACCCCTTGGACCAATGGATGTTTGGCAGCTAGGAGTTTGGGGGTGGTTTCATTTATACTATTCACTTTGCAGGGTAAATCACATTATAGGGGCCAACTTGAACGTATTGTGAAAACATTTTCCCTTATATAAATGACATTTGTGCTACACATGTACTAGTAGGCAGACAAATGAAACCAACAGCCAGCGGAACCCAAATTGTGCCCACAATCGAAGTTGGTATAGTAATTAGATAGTTAATTGTTCAACTACACTTTAGTCGGAAGGGAAAATCGTTCGTACAACAATGCTCACGTTCTCAAATATGAAGAAAATTCGTACACGAATACGATGAATGTGCATAGGAAAAAAATGCAATGGGTAAAAAACAATGAAACCAATACACGCCCAACAAACTCAGGGTAGAAGCTTAATCCACTCATACTTCTCCTTAGTCCTCAATACCAAGAAAATCAATGCCTTATGCTTTTCCTTGTTAAGTTCAACAATTGCCTTCCAAAAATCGTCTGGTGCAAGCTCCATCGCGTAAAGCGCCTCGATAACCGCTTTGGCAGGTTCCACCTTGGTGTTAATCCTATTATGCTTCTCTTTTTGGACGTCATGATACATCTATAATGCACTTTGGAAACTTGGTTCATCTCCCTTACTCTTCTTAGTACCACGCGAATCGACTCCGGATGGGGCAGGATCAACAGGTCTCTTCCCACAAGCCCTTGGTATTCCGGGACTATTATCCAAAGTGGTGTCTGTGACCTCATCACCTGGTCTATACGAGGGTGTGGCCCCATGCTCCATGGTTGCAGTTTGTTCATGGAAGAGTTCAGTCAATGCATCGAGGTATGGGAATGGCTTGTCCCTGAATTTAATTGCACCAGCTATTTTCTGCGACACAAAATTAGATATGTTTTATGTCTATACAAGTGCAACGTATAAACTGGTAACGTTTCCATGATACAACACAAAAAAGATACATTATTGGGCATAGATGATTAAAACGGGGAGAGGGAAAACTCTAGCTACCTTGTTGCATTAAAAAAATCTGAACCCAACACTATAAAACCTGCAACAGTTGCAACATATTTTGTGGTAAAACCAAAGAACCGTACGCCCATTAATTATAATTCAACAATTGTAAACAATTTTGTTATGGTTAAATGTGATAGGGTTTCACAAAACAGAGAAGAAGTGCACAAGTCCGGTTGTTATTCACTTCAAATGAGACGAATTGTCAAACTATAAAAAGAAAAGGCACCATAGAACATTGGGCCTGGTTTGTTACACATGGATAAAGGGGAAGAATAAACAGAAAACGCAATAGTAGAGATAAATGTAGGATTACATACAGGAGAAGCAAAAAAAGCAGGCATATGTCATATAAAACAAACAGTGAACACCGATAAACCAAATAAGAGATGCAAACGAACATAAACCAAACATTAATAAAATACGAACATTGCACTTACACTATTCAATGCAGCCCAATCAGGGTACTCAAAAACTTGCAATTCTTCATTCCAACACCGGTTGTATTCTTAAGTTTTTGCCAGGTTTTCCAATCGCGCTTGAGTCTATCCACCTTTGATTTGATAGGCTTAACATCGATAGAAACACCCAAAGTAGCAGTAAGCTCAGTTGTAATTTGGTTCCACCAAGAAGGCTTAAAGTTGGAAGTGGGCATATGACACTCTTTTTTTGGCAACAAGAATTTGGACTAATGCGGTCTCCCGATCAGGTGTCCAAACCACCTCTCCTTGCCCTTTTCAGTTTCGTCATCATGGTCATCCGTTCCTGGCTTCCTTAGGGACTACAAAGATATAGGCTAGAAAACATGAGGAATCAAATTTTTAGCAAACAACGACTATTGAAACAAATATGATAACAATCACTGTTGCAAATACAAAGATCAATGTCGTTCTCGTTTGACTCAGAATGGAAAGATTTTGAGATTGTTGGTATACCTAAGAAAAAAGATAGAAACAGGTAGATTTTACTACAACTGTTGTAACTCATTGTATCGCACGAATCACCCGTTCCAAATTCAGTTGCGAATACAAACATGTTTGGAAACATACCTCTGCCTCCTGAAAGCTGCGACTTGATTGGAAGCTCTAAAAGAACATTGCCATACACAATTTTTTAAAAGTGCAAATAATATACATAAGCAAAAATCTATTTTTTCCCTATAATGTTATGTACCAAATAACCCTATCCATAAATTCAAAAACAGGAATGAGCGTAGTAAGAAAAAAAAATAACCCTACCGGGTGTGTGGATAGATTTTGTCGGTGTTTCAGTATCTGAAACAAAGTAAGTAAAACAATTTCAGATCCTTATTGATAGGAACAGTACAGGTATCAAATGTAAAGCAAACATGAATAAGAAAGTGCATAGAGTCAGAGGGTGTTTCCTTAATGTTACGGAGCACCAATGAAACGAATACTGCAGATCCAAAAATCTAAGTATGACTATAAAAAACATAACAGGCCTTTTTTCCTCATTTACAACTACAAATGCGGAAAAAGCTATCGTATGCAACCATAAAGGAAGCACTCCTCTGGCTATGGACTGCCGAAACTCTGAGTTCCTTGGAACCTCTGTAATATAATTTCCAAATGCAAATGTCAGAAATAAAATGACTTTTTTCCCTTTAATGTTAGGCAACTTTAATTACTTCTCAGTGTACTAAACAAAATCATACCGCTGTCTTCAGGGTGAATTGACTTGACCGGTGTAAAAGGAGTATGTGAAACATCATTTCCAAGAGAATTTCAAAGCGAAGTATAAATTAAGATTCTGGCTAAATGTTTGAAATACATGCACCAATTGTAACAGACTGTACGCGGTAACTCTTGTTATCCCGTTGTTGACTTCACCATTACTGAATCGAAAATGAACATCTTGCAAACAACATAGGAAACGTACATGTCCCTACGGATTTCTCAGAAGTTGAGTGTGTGGGAATCTCTACAATAGCATAAGAAGCACAACATGTTTCCTATTATGTCAAAGGACAGCTAGTTTTCTATAAATCAGGCTTCGTAGTAAAATCAAACTTACTACTGCTTTGGGAGTGAATAGAGTTTGTCGGCATTGGAGTATCTACAACGTAGGTTGGAGGAAAACTTCATGTGGTATCAGACAGTAAATTTTGACCAAAACTTTTATATTGCATGACTCAAACGAAAGGAAACGTGCCTTTGTTTTCTAATTTGTTGTTTGACTCAGACGTATCCATAATCCTGTAATACCACCAAATTACATACTACGGGAATTAATAAAGATAATGAATATGGAAAAACGAGAATCATACTGCAGCATTGAATCGAAATTTCAGACATCGGCCATACAAAACAGTTTAGATCTGCTTGAAACATACGAAAAAACACATTAATCTCACATAACAATGTGTTATGTAACTGTGAATAGTACTACAACATCCCCAAACCCAAGTAGAAGGTAAGTATAGCCAAGGCAGGTCCGACCCGATTTGGCGAAATGGTGGGAAATGACTCCAAGCACGAGTCTAGATAACGAAGATGAAAAAAAAAAACAAGGGTCCAGGACATATTGAGGCAAACAAACAACGGAAGATTCTGTACAAATTCGAAAAGAGGGTGTGTACATAAGCAATGTAACCAACCCTTAAACCATTGGTACATCCCGATGAATAGAGTAATGAAGCAACGCCATTTGAGCTTACACACAAGGTATAAGTGAATAACATCAAGATGCCCAATGTTACTCGAAATGGCCAAAAATCGTTCTGCCGAGAGAACCTCCAGCTCCGTAGTACAGTGAATTGAGTTTTCTGCGAGCGTATGATTCGGTGGAAAGGAACCTCCAATACGTCTTCAGTGCGGCACTTAACCAATTCAAACACCAGATGGGAATAGAAAGGTGATGGGTGGTGGATCTTCTATGTTTGGATAGCACGACAAACAATACAATAACAGATCTGAATTAAAAGTGTAAGGGGAATAAAAACAAATAGGGTTATCCGAAACAGTTAGCTCGTTTTTTTTAATTGTAGGGGTACATAGAACTTGGACTAAAATGTGTAATGAAAAGTGATTAAGGATGGAAAACAAGAGGTATTTCAAATGCCATTTTAAGTTGAAAATTATCCAAACAAAATTGGGCGACGGTATTTGAAACTGAGTGGCAAAATGAAATATTTTTTTGAAAAAAACTGTTGTCCAAACATAGCTTATATCATTATCACCGCACAAGGTGCAGGCATAATACTAGTAATAATAAAATAAATTGGTATTTTGTTGGCGAACTTGCGATTGATGTAATCAAGCCATTTTTTATAATCAAATCCAGATGGCGATAGGCAACTACAAGTCCACCATTTTAACTAATTCGACCAATTTGGAAAGAAAGTTTCAGCATTTTATATACATGATTGCTGCGAGTCTCGATCATCATGCCATTGAAGTGCGATCATCTTTCTGCTGATAGAAGGATTCGTAAGTTGCCACCCGAGGCTTTGATTCAGGGAGCTGAAGTTCTTCCATGAAACCCATAGACATCTTTATGAAATCTTCCTTGTGCAACCGTTTCCATTCCTGACAACCAAAGGAAGTTTAGGGAAGTTTAGGGCAGATATAGACAATGGAAAGATGAAAATTGAAACTTAGATCAAATCCGAAGACATGAATTCAAAATCATCAGAACTCTTCCAAAGATGAAGGCAAGTTGACAGTTTTGAGGATAAATCCTATTTACGAGAGTCAAATAAATATACCATTTCAGAGCTTATTCGGGGAAAAACCACATGAATAGAATTTCAAGAAATATCATAAATAAATTTTAGTCTCTTGTGATTATAGCCAGCATCTATACAGACTTTCTCAGTTTCATCAGAACTACATGACATAATGTTTTCCTCCTCCAGAGCAGTTCAAGTTACATATCTTTCAACCGCAGCTCCGTTGACATATTCAGCTTTTCAACCTTACTATTTTTGGCAAAGACATCTTTACATATCATGAGATGCAACTATAGTAACCTATTGCCGCAACTATAGTAACATATTGCATTTCCATGGAGAATGGTCGTTAACGAAGTTAGCATAGACCAGAACTGGGATAAAGTGGTACTTTTAAGTTTCTACCAAGGCTAAGCCGTAGCTAGCTAATTTAACTAAACCAGACTGCAAATAACTTACAAATGACAATCATGGCGAAGTCTTAACTTTGTTGACTGTGCATCTTTCACAGATCCTACTGAAATCTTATCAAACTTCAAGAGTAAATTCTGCTATTTGCCAGGCATACATCATTAAGGTACACCTCAAATAATAACTTCATATATTTCCCACATGTTAATTCTATTAGACAAATTTTCAATTGGATCCCATTCCACTAGCTACTACCAACTGATTCTCCTCTGGGCTAGTTTAATGAGGTCAGGTTGATTTAATCAATCTTATAAGTGTTATGATTTAGTTAAATTAATCATCAGTTGCAAAGAAATACACAAACCATGTGGCAGACCTTACATACCATGTTCGCGAGATGCACATAACAATACAACTAATTTGTTTCCCGCTCAAACTTGTTCCCGAATCTAGCAATCCAAAGGATTTGTCAAGACATGACCTAAAACCCTAACCTCAAATACCATATTCACAATGCAATCAATGTGGGCCATTGGAAAGCTTTTATTGCAAAATCAGTACAACAAACTAGACAACTTTTCGAAAGATTAAAAACAAAAGCAACAGTATTTGCCATAATTGGTTCCAGCCTTCCAATTAAATCTTTTATGGAAAGGAAAGAAGTGAATAGCAGAATGAATAAAGTTAACAACAAGAAATAAGGACAAGATGGCTGGCAAGCTAACTTAACTTGCTATCAATGAACAGCAGCATATGTCGTATCACATAGACTAGGAAAGGAAACATAATGTACCTCAAAATCCCATTCTCCATACAAATTTGGGTCAGACTTGTTGCACCATACATATGTGTCCACTTGCATCTTTTCAGAGGTATCCTGCAAAATCCTCACTGTAGTTTGTAATCCATAGTAGACCACTGATTAATCAACTTATGAAAAATTTGGGATGGTAGAAGCAAACTACAATACAGGTAATGCATAAGGCTAACGGTTTTTTAGTTCATGGGTGGGGATATGGAGAAGCAGAGAAGGCAGATATCTTCCCATTTCATTCGCATAATCCCTACCATCCCAACAGTGAACATTCAGCAACCTATGTATATGATATTCTTTAGAGTTAACCAACGTTTAATTACATCCTCGACTTTCCATTTCTTCTACCTGTATCTCTAGTATTTTCGTCAGGTAATTATCATTCAACATTCAACTCCATGTTTTCTTTTCCTATAAACAAGTTTTCAGTTAGTTTGTTCCTATAACAATTTTTCCCATGTCTTCTTTTCTTCAGTTAGTTTATTTCTTTTTTTTTTCAGTTTATTTCTGTGCTGTATTGTATCTTGTCATTACCAGTCATTCTGATGCGGACAAGGAATGGTAGAAGAACCCTATCAGTAGGTTCTTCCATATTTATGCCCAGGATCATCATGATCCGAGGAAACCAAAGTATGAGACCTTTGGTTAGCTTAATCACTAGTACTTACAATATGCAGGAATTTATTTAGTTATTCTAGAATAAGGGAACTTCAGTAATTCCGCTAGGTTGCAGGATTTTTCTGCAGTACTAGTTCCCTATTTTCGGTATTTAGTTTAATTTCCTAACAGGTTAAGCTTTAGGTCGTTTCAGGAATTTAGTTTTAGGAAACTAAGACTTTATCTCCTATTTTATAGTTTTTTTAGGCCTATATATATGTACCTCGTTTGAAGGTTTTAGTCAGTGATCAGATTAATAAAATTCTTGCAAGCTTTTGCTTTCAACAACAGTTGTGTGACTCAACTAAACCCTTGGTGTGACGCCTAGGAATCCTGCGGTGTGATGCCAAAGGGCCCTAAGAGTGATTCTTAGGTTTTCTTCTTCTTCCTAGTGATTATCCCTATTTTCCTGCGATTTTTACCCTTATTCCCTACAGTTTTCTATTGATTTTTCGCTGCATATTACTCTTTAATCAGCCTAAGTTCTAATTTTCTTAACCACCACGTTTTGTCCTGCGTCAGTTTGGCATCTGAGCCGAATTTCCTGAGGTAATACTTTTTTTGATCAGATTGGAATTGATTTTCCTGATGAATTCTGTTTTCAAAAGGGTTTAGAGATCAACAGCTATGAATCCCCATAGCATAGGTTATCCTAATTTGCCTTGTAGTTCAGAAATCGTTGAGGAAGATGAGCAGGAGTATAATGATGATGAAGAGGAGATGGGCATATTTGATACTGATGATTTCGAAGAGGTAGAAGACAATGTTGATATGTCCTATCTTTTACTAATTTGGCGAATTTCTAGAACACCAAAAACAGGAGAAGAAGATTGGAGGACAGAAATCTTTCAGACATTGGTTTACTGTGGGAAAGTTGTCAAGAAAGTGATTATAGATGGCGGTAGTAGCGCGAATTCGGTTTTTGAATCCACTGTGGAAAGACTGAATTTAAAAACAGAGCCACATCCATACCCACATAAGGTTGGTTGGATTAATGGCACAACTATTCCTGTTACTAAGTGTTGCTTGGTAGACATCAAAAGAGGGAATGTTGATTCTATATGGTGTGATGTTATTCCCATGAATGCTTCACATATAATCTTAGGAAGACCCTGGTTATATGATCGGGAAGTAAAGCATGATGGTAAAGCCAATACCTATTCCTTCAACTTCAACAACATGAAACTTGTTTTGAAGCCCCAGACTGATGAATATATGATGAAGCATTGCTCAACTAAGCCAAAGAGGGATCAAGTGGTTCCTGAGGTTTCAGCTCTGAATGTTACTAAGGAGGAGGAAAAAGTTTCTGGTCAGAATTCTACTGAAGCTACTATTGAGTTTGATTTGAATCAAGTAGAACAAAATAAGAAAATTCTTAGTTGTCCTACTGAAGATGGAAAACCTGGTCTTAATGTTATTGATTTTCAGATAGAAAAACCTCTAAAACCACCTGATTTTTCAGGACTCACATACTTTCATTAGCATTGTTGAGGATGTGTGCAGGGAGGCTGTTCAGTATCAAAATTTGGTTGAGTCTGCAGACACGTTCAAAGATGAACCTGTTGTTCATTCAGTTCAAGATAACTGCTTGCTGGCCCTTGTGGCTCAGGAGACTACAATGGAACATATTGGGGTTCAGAATTCTGCAGAGAGATTTACATTGAAGTTTGTTGAAAGTCCTATAGTTGAAGGAACCAATCTGACGGATCATACTAGTAAAGAGACTAAGGTCAATGCAAGCACAGAACCCACCGAGACTTGTAAACTATATGAGTCTGATGTGGACGTAAAAGAAGTACAACTTCAGAATCTTGGTAAATTTCCAGATCAAGGGAATGAACCTTTTCTGGTGAGAAAATTTCTAGACAAACAGGCCGAAACTTTTCTGGTGAGAAAAATTCTAGACAACCAGGCTGGAAAACGTGTTGACTCTTGTAAAGTAGTTGACATGATGATTGAAATTTCTGCAATAAGAGATTTTATGGGGACAAATTGCATGAAGCCCGGCAAATTTTTCAGACCTAGTCAAGTGAAGGTTTTTTATCCTGGTATTCCACACATTGATTTTGTTCTTGAGAGGATTATGACAACAAACGAGCAAACAGATTTCAGACGTCTATTCTTATTCCTACATTTCGGCGAAGGAAATTCATTCTTATTGAATATCCTGCAGTGTCATGGCTTATGTTTCAGATTGTCGGGTTCTTCATTCTCAGACATTTTAGAACTCAAGGACAAGTTTTTTTGAACAAGGGGAGAATGATACGGACAAGGAATGGTAGAAGAACCCTATCAGTAGGTTCTTCCATATTTATGCCCCGGATCATCATGATCCGAGGAAACCAAAGTATGAGACCTTTGGTTAGCTTAATCACTAGTACTTACAATATGCAGGAATTTATTTAGTTATTCTAGAATAAGGGAACTTCAGTAATTCCGCTAGGTTGCAGGATTTTTCTGCAGTACTGGTTCCCTAGTTTTGGTATTTAGTTTAATTTCCTTACAGGTTAAGCTTTAGGTCGTTTCAGGAATTTAGTTTTAGGAAACTAAGACTTTATCTCCTATTTTATAGTTTTTTTAGGCCTATATATATGTACCTCGTTTGAAGGTTTTAGTTAGTGATCAGATTAATAAAATTCTTGCAAGCTTTTGCTTTCAACAACAGTTGGGTGACTCAACTAAACCCTTGGTGTGACGCCTAGGAATCCTGCGGTGTGATGCCAAAGGGCCCTAAGAGTGATTCTTAGGTTTTCTTCTTCTTCCTACTGATTATCCCTATTTTCCTGCGATTTCTACCCTTATTCCCTACAGTTTTCTATTGATTTTCCGCTGCATACTACTCTTTAATCAGCCTACGTTCTGATTTTCTTAACCACCACATTTTGTCCTGTGTCACATTCCATCTTTCTTCTAACAGAGATCCTAATGTAATTTTTGTTATCTGCTGTCTGAGTTCAAACATCAGATTGAATAAGATCATAGTAGAATCTATTGGTAGGTAAATAGAAATTTCCTTTTTACCAGCAAAAATAAGCTATTGACTGCATGCTATTAATCCTACCCACTGTAATTTGTATGATTCAAAATTCTACCAGACAGTATGATAATCTTTCGCCAGAATGCTACATTCAGGTTTTAATTCTTCTTCTAAAAGAATAAAAACATAATATTTGAAAGCGCTTATTGCAACAGATATAGTTGCAGCTCATCCACCTCTTTACTTACAATTATAAAAGTACGGCAGATTGTGAAGCAACGCTCAAATAATAAGTGCTTCAAGACAAGGAGTCCTGGCACCGACAAAATTGATGTGGTTCGTGCATTTCAAGGGTACGCATGGTTCCTAAGTAGGGATAAATAAATAAATGCAACCAACAAGTTCTGCAATAAGAGGTAGTGTGGGGTTTTACAAATTAACGCTTCTTTCGCTCTTGTTATTAAGATTGGATAAAAGCTTATCTCGCTGTTTCAAGTAAATCCATCACTAAGGTGAGTTAAACAGGCTGCAAAAGTTAGTAACAAGTTTTTCATTTTCCCATTCTTCCCTACTTCCATTGGCACAGGCTCTAAGTGCACAGCTAAAAGTTGACAGATAATGCATGATCCTTGGTTCCATGTTTTACTTGGAATAAAGTGAGAAGTCTTGGCACCTAATAACAGTGCAGTATTTCCAGTAAAATTTCTGAGCATTGCATTCCTTATCAATTCTGTGTTTCCACTATTTCCTTTCTCTATGTACAAAATACAATTCTGAAGTACGCAAATAATAAGTTCTCCCTTTCCCTTTGTCCCAAAATTACACAAACAGGAAAATAGTTTTGGGAGGGAGGAGTAACTGTGACGCAGCATCTTAATCAGGTTGGAGATGGTTTAATAGGATAAAAAATAGCAGAAAATAAATAGAAAACTGTAGGGAAACAGGGTAGAAATCGCAGGAAAACAGAGAGAAAACAAGAACAAAACCTTAGAGTCACTCTTAGGGCCCTTTGGCATCACACCGCAAGATTCCTAGTCATCACAACAAGGGTTTGGTTGTATCACACAACAGTTGCAAAAGCAAAGCTTCACGCAGGAATTTTCAGTACTCAAAGTCTATCTCTAAACACTCAAAGAGGTACATATATATAAGCCTAAAAACTACAAAATAGGAGATTAAGTCTTAGTTTCCTACAACTAAATTCCTGTCGCGACCTGAAGATATAAAGAAATTAAATTAAATACCAAGGAAACCAGTACTCCAGAAAAATCCTGCAACAAAGTAAATACTGAAGTACCCCTTACTCTAATATACTGAAAATTAAACTTAAGTTCCTGCTTAATGAATAGCCTAACCAAAGTTCTAACACCTGGGCATAAGTATGGAAGAACCTACTGATTGAGTTCTTCTACCAATCCTTGTCCGCGTCAAACTCATACCAATCCTAAGATGAGCCACAATAAAAAGGGGTGAGGCGAACAGAAATTTCAGTCATTACTACTCCATGGTCCAGCTTCTTTTCTCTTCACCGTAAAACAGTCACTTAAACCCTTAAAGAGGGTCAATTTAGTCTCTCCGTTCAAATTTATCACTACACCTAGCAGGATGTGCTACATGCACTAATCTGGGGTAATTATAATTCAGGGAATTATAAGATAGGACCTGGTCAAATAACACCTCAAATTTTTATGAGTTTTCTTACTATTTCTCAGAAACTCCTCTGAACAACTTTTCCCAGCCCTGGTCCATGGATCCAAACTCAAATCTGTGCCCCCCAGATGCTTCTCTCAAAACCTTTGAATAGTTATTAGGTCCAGTTCAACTAACATCTGCGCCACCCGGATGCCATACTCTCTCAAAATATTTGAATAATTATCCAGTTCCTTATCATAAACCCCTCAATACCACTCCAGCTCAAATATTTAAGCCCTGGGTTTAAAGCTCAATGGCTTCAGGGCGACTATTGAAGAATCAAGCTTACTATACCCCAAGCTCCTTTTGAACAGCTGATTACAAACTGCCAGAGCATCAGGATAATTGTATCCATCACAATAAAATTCTATGTTGTCCAGTTTTTTCTTCGGTCCACAGAAGATTCAAACTTTCAAATGAATCATCATCATAAAAGCCACCTTCACAACTAAAATTTACACTACTGTTCATAAATTCCTGTAAAAGAATACCTCCAAAAACATAATCGAATTGACTCCTACTTTTTCAGGTTGTTTGACTATTATCAGATAAAACATAGCCACACGTACCACATATTTCATTTAGTTACATTGTGGACGTGAATTGAGTGCCTCTGTTACTGCACTTTAAGAAGTTTCTTGACAATTTTCAAGGAAAACAGAAGGGGGTGTGTGATGAAGACCAAAAGGTTGGAATAAGACCAAAATTGCAGATGACTCATATATGTAGAAGCTTCAATTGTTAAAAGGTTCTGCATTCTTCAGCAAAACAATAATCAAGAGGTGGTTGGCTCTGTTCAATAAATGAATTCCAAGCTTCGGATTAGTTCGAGCATAGGGGATTCAACACTCAGATATTGCAAAACCTTTGGTGCTTGGTGGAATAGAATAGTATTGAAAATAGTGGATTTGTGTTCTAAAGTGGAACACGAGCCAGGGTTATAAAACATTTTAACTTACCAGAAACCAGATTAGGTTACTTTTTAATATTACCATACCACATTTTCTCTCATCTCACTTTCTCCCTCCTCCCTTCTCTCTCTTTCCCTTTAACTTGTATGAATATCTTTCTCTTTCTTCCTACTGAAACTTCAACACCTCCCTATTCTCTCATCTCTCACTGGACTTTATCTCACTTTCTCTTTACTTCCCACGTCCCCCGGGTGTTACTTTATCTCTCCTTATTTTACTCTATCATTCATTTTCCAGATATAAAATGTGGAGTGACTAAAGGATAAGAAGAAACTTTTGCTGATTTATACTAATTACTGATATGCATTATCATTCATAAAACTATCATACTCGTCACCTTATTTCAATCCCGTCAATAAAACCAGTGCCTTCTAATTTGCGTGCAAATGTCCAGTCAAAGAGCCAACAAAACTAAGAATCTGAAGATCAACAATTGATATTTAAGCTATACAGTATAATTTCACGCGTTGTTTCCATATATTAGCCTGTATCATACATTTGGTGCATAACAGGAGCTACCCGATTCCATAAAGTTGACTAAACACATATTAACCTCAAATTGATTTATATAAACAAAAACATGAAACAACATTAAAAGTGAAATCAGGTTGAACATACCATTAGATAAACATCAACAGTTTTCCTTTCATACTCATCATCTTCAAAATAGTCCAGAATCTCTAGCTCAAAAGGAGTAATATCCAATAGAACCTGAATGTAAAATGTAAATCTAAGTTCATACCATAGAAATGTGAAATCCATTATACTAAGTAGTTGCCATTTGAAATTGGGCCACAGATTCAAGTTGGGGAAACAGCTCTCCATGATGCAAAATATGATGGCATAAATCAAGCTTTAACGGCATGGGCATCTCATGGATTCTGCAAATGCAGGAGCTAACATGCATGGGGTGCCATGTTGCAGAATACGCACTAACAATCTATCAGATGAGCACGGAAGATCCTTTGCAACCTATCCAGTTCCCTATTAGCATTGCACCGATCTCATTAACCAATTTAGTGATTATATGTTCAGCTAAGACATCCACGTAAGCCTACTATACATTATCAGATTTCCGGTGGAAACTTGTCATATCATCGGGGGTGAGTAGAAACATAATTGAAACATAACCAAACAATCTAAACATAACAGTGTCTTCTCATTCCATGAAAGATATTCAAATGGACCACTTAAATGATCGTAGAAAGTTTCAGGAAAATAAAAATAATTAAAAAACAAAGATATTGAAGGGCAAAAAGGTACTAGATGGAAGCTTAAAATAATCAAAATATTAGAGTGTTTTCACTTTCCATGAAAGATATTCTCCTTGACCACATAACTACTTTTTGGGACTATCAGGGGAAAAAACGAAACAGAAATTGAAGGGCAAAAAGGTGACAGATGTAGTGCCTAAGATATGTGGAACTGGGTGAAATCACTTCCTAATGTGTAACACATCTTGGACGCATTATTACAAAAAGGTAGGTATAATAAGCAAACCTTTCCAACTACTTCTTTAGCCTCTATAGGTAGGATGGCTGGATAAACTCTTCCTTTGATGCTAAACCGATGGCTGCAGTAAACAGACAATGAAGTTAGTAATGTTGCATCTTCAAAATAAAATTAATATTTGATAAAATACACTACCATCAAAAGTAGGCATCTCTGCCACTTTACCAAACAGTAGCAGCGTAAAACACAGACAAACTGAAATGTAAATTAAAAAACTCTTCCTCATATGTTGAATAACATCAAACAAGGAAAATTTATCCCATTCCATGTTTTTAAAATAGCATCAATCTCGCAAATGCGCCATTGGTACAACATAAATTCACGCGACTCATAATGTCTCATCCTCAAACTTAATACTACGTTAGGGATGTGTGTCTCTTTTAATCCAACTAGCAGTATCTCACAAAATCAAAATTTTATCCTGGCACCAAAACTAAATCATAAACCAACTCAGGAATCAAAAAAAGCTTAATCCTAATTGAAAGAAGCCTGATAAACGTTGAGGCTGAAGTTCAGTGTTTGTCAAGGCACTTTTAAGGCCTTGAGTTAGAAATTCTCCGGATTGAGAGGCTTCTCCCGATGACTATTGCACCAAAGACACTTTGATTTCTTCTTCACCACTTAATTCACGCTCCCTGTTAATTAGTTACAGACCTCCATGTAGGCAATATTTTATAAATGATTACATTAAGGTACAAGAAATGTCACGAATGACATGATAATTCCTGCAATTCCTATTTCCATCTCCCATTTCACTATTTATAGAAAGTCCAGACTCTAATCTAGACACAAGCTTAAGCCTAAATGTCAACAGAAACAGCATAGCAGTAGAGAAACAAATTAAGGCTGCAAACAGTTATGATTATCCTAAGGCAGCATAGCACTCAATTTACTGCAAACAGTTTGACAAATGAGGTTAATAGACAACAACCCATGAGTCAAAACTAACTGTTTGCAAAATGAGTGCGCATAAAAAGTACATACAAGTCTCGTAGTACCGCAGGCGAAGAGCGAGGGACGCGATGCAGGAGCACACGGACGACATCATCAGCTAGGAGGCTACCATAGACGAACACATTATGCATAGCTGCCTGAGGAATAGATGACCCCATTATCGGAATCCCCTTCTCCTCTACACAAATATCAAAGTTTAAACAATCAGCTCTATAGAAAAATGATGAAACTCTCAAATAAGATGGTCAAAATGCTTTTCGCTATATCAGTCCAAAGGAGAAAATGCTAAAAGCGATATAAACTCACTGCAGGATCGGTATTCATATATATTATCCAGTCAAAAGGCACTGAAATAGAAATTGCAAAATTCCAGGACACAATTGAGGAGAGACCCAATTAAGATCGCCCGAATTTCGATGTATTTCCCCCAAATTGAGAGCATAAAATGAAAGGCATTAATCAAATCTGAACACACAATTGAAGAAAGAGAAAAGCAAAAAAGAGGAAAACATACCAAAACTCCGAGCAAGGAAGGATAGAACAAGAACGAAATGAAGTGAATTTGATGAAGATAATTATCGATCAAAAAGTCTTCGCATGCAGACCCCAAAAGAAAAAAGAAAAAGTATTTACTTTGGAATTTATAAATTCCTTCCAATTCCAGTGGAGCCTGGGAACTGGGAAGTTTGTTCGCAATTCGAATTCTTTGAGACTTTCTTTTTCCCAGTTTAAAGCTAGTCATTTAAAAAATCTGTACCTTTTGACTTCATTTTTTTCTCTACAAAAAAAAAAATAATAGAAAAATAAAAATTTAATCATACCAATAGTTTCCCTCTTTTTGTTGGGTGATGAAACTAGGTGAAAAATTGGCAATTCCTTTGGGGAGAAACCAAAATAAACAATTAAAATATTGCTACCAAAATTATAAAATCAGCTTCAAGAAAAAGAACTGAATAGGAAGTAGTATCAAAATGACAAAATCTACAAGGAAAAGAATTGAGATAGAAGTAGTATTTATTATGTATATCAAAGAAATGGAAATACAATCAAATGCTCTATTTCAGATTCAAGAGCATAACAAGGAATCCTAACTTGGGGAGAATGATTTCAAAACATCATTCATTCATTAGTGTCAAAAGAATTAACCACTGAAAAATCCTAAAAGATGTGCCCCAGTTTTCTTTTCCACTCATCAAGATGATAACTCCAAAAGAGCCTTGGCAGGAGGCAATGCAGCAACAGCTCCCCTTTCAGTGCTGGAGTACTTCTTGTAGATCACCCTCAGCTTGTGATCTGGAGCCATGGCATGGTAGCTGACAAGTAGCTTTGCACAATCCAATACTTGCTGCTCTGATAAACCAGTGTGCAATCTCAGAGTGTCATCCCAAAGAGGGGTCTTTTGGAGGGTGCATCTTGCTGCATACACGGCTGACGCAGCGATCGTTGATGGGCTGTAACTGATAGTTGCATAATTCATCATCCCAAGTTCTGCCAGGAAGTAAACCAGGTTCTCCATCTGATGTTTTTTAATCACAGAAATGTGCCAAGTTAGTAACATTGAAAATGTAACTGGCCAAATCTAAAACTAGATGTTGGGAAAACTGGAAAGAACCAGAAGGGAACTTACAATGTCTGAATCAGGAATGGAGGCTTTGATGAAGCGCACAAGGAATACATATGGCGTTGGAACAGTCAAAGTCCATTGCAATTCACCAAGAATGCGTTTTTCCATGGACAGCACCTGTGCATGAGTGTAAGCTCTATCTGACATGCATACGAAGTCATTCACCTGCATCCAATTTGCACATTTGACAAATATTATTAATAATCCTGGAATTGGAAATGCTAGCCAAAACCAAACAAACAGATGGATGCACAGTGTTATTTACCTCAGGTGCCCAGATTTCTTCATATTTTGAAGCCACGAGCATTGCACCCATACCAAGTAACTGTAGCTCCTTCCTGGGAGTAGCCTTGATGGCAAGATACCTATCAATTATGTTGATGGTGAGGTAAAGTGTCTCTTGGTTGAGTTCAAACTTGTGGTGAACTTCAATCAACCAATCAATCAGAATTGCCCTCATTTTTTCATTAATGTCAGGTTGAGAAGGCATGTAGTCACCAACCCTGCTCTCATTCTGCATAGAGGGATTTTTATACACAAAATCAGTCACAGAAATTGAAAAAACTTAAAATATTCAGGAATTTTCAAGATCTTGACAGTGTTAAATATACCTCTGCAATCTTATAGAATTGGTACAGGTCATCGAGATACTCAGTGACTGCTAACTCATTGTTGATATCAGCAGCGTCAATATCCACTACCATTACATCCTTGGTTTTCTTGCTCAAACCACATGCTGCTTTGCTTCTAGCAGAGAGAGTTGAACTAAGAGTTGGGGCTGTTTTCTTCCCATTTGCTTTCTTCTCCCTTTTGTCTACCTTCACTGGTTCTGAATCAGAACTTATTTCAATAACAGCCTCAGGCTTAGGCTTAACAACTGGTTTTTTCTGCACTGGCTTCTTAGCCTGGGCACCAACAACTCCTTCATTTTCCACTTTAACTGGCAGACATTTCTGAAAAATCAAAAGCCACAAAAAATTAAAGGGTTTAATTAAATTGCTATATCAATAATTTCTGATAATAAGAAAGTGGTGAGAATTGATAGTCAAACCTTGTTGTTTTCTGCAGCTTTAGCTGCCTGAGCATTAGCTAGCAATTGAGCACAGAAACTCCTATACAAACAGAAAAGAAAAGGGACATTAAAAATCCATCACCAACAATGAAAAGGAAATCAGAACTGGCAAAAAGAGAGGGAAAGAAATTATCAACCTAGTAACTGGTCTCTGAGGAAGGGGTTTGCCTTCAAGGACAGCACGGGCAGTTACAAGATTCCCAATATCTCCAAGTGCTCGCCTATTTCTTCCTCCTGGAGCGGCCGCCATGTTCTTCTGCTTAATCCGACCTTCAGGAACTGCTCCCTCGGCTATTATAAGACATAATAAAAACGATTTTCATTAGGGGGTTCTATTGAACACATCATGAATCAAAACGCAATCAATTACTTCAAGTATTCGACAAAATTCCTCAAACATAGATCTCAACTCTTGCGGTGATCAATATTCAATAAAAAAAATCTCAACAAGTGAACTCCCAGAAAGCCCAACCAGAAAACAGCGTACTGTAGAGATTTAGATTGGAACAATCATCTTTTCTCCAAGTTTCACGGTAAACAGAGAAACAAAGAGCAGATAACAAAAAAATATCTCATCTTGAAGGGCAATATTCAATCTAAAATCAATGTAGGAAAATAAAACCCAGTCAAGATCACCAAGAAAATCCACTCAAAATAAAATAATTCACAAGAACAGAAATTAGAAGCTACTTTTCAGGACTCTAAATTGAACGATGAAGAAAAGATCTCATCTTTACGAGAGGGAAGGTACAATTCGAACACAAATCAGTCCGAAAAGTCGAAAACCATCATCAGAAAGAACCCAATTTAACTAACCACATAACAATTAAAAGAAATTCCCCGAATCTTTAACCTGCTAATACAAACCTTGAAGAACCCCAGAAAGTTAATCGGAAAAAATACACCGAACAAGCAACAAATATACAAAAAATGGCAGCCAAAGAACTTTATAGTATAAAGAAGAAAAAAAAGCCGATTATCAACAAATTCATGAAAACCCATCACGAAAAAGTTTATTCAGATACAAACGAAGCCCTTTTGATACCTCTGTTCTGCTGCACTGCTACTCTCGAAGCCATCAAAGAAAACCTTCAACAAGAATCAATTCTCCTCAAAAAAAATTCTTCAAATCAATGGAGCAGAAACCCTTTCTTCTCCTACCCCCTTCTTCGTCTTCTTCTTCTCCCTTTGTTTATGAATCTGATTTCTTATTGAATTTTTCTTTTTCGTTTTCCTTCCCTCTGCGGATTGCTATGAGAGATGAGGGGGAAAAAAATGGCAAGAGTTCTGTATTTGAAGAAGCTTTAAGAAGAGCGCTTGCGTCCACCAACGGTCTAATTTTCCAGCAATCTGAGGCCTTCGATCAAAAGAAGATCCAACGGCTGTCAGTGAGTTTGCGAGGCTTCGCTAATGCGCCCCGTTGGCTCTTTTTAGCCGTTGCGCCTGTTCAAAGATTACCGTTACTGCCGTTGATTTACCATTAATTTTTTTTTCCCTTTGGGGCCTAAAAAGGAAGTCGGTCGATTGATTCCTCCGTTAAAACGGCGGGCTGCAAGAACGGACGGTACTTTCTTGGTATATATCTACACTTTTATCCCTTTGTGTAAAGATTTTGCATTTTTAAAATGGAGTTTACCCTGAAATAAAGACTCAATTAAAATTTATGTTTTCCGTCAAAATAAGTTTGAAGAGAATTAAAATTTTGGGCTTGTGCTAATTTTTCTTTTCCGATTTATTATATATTCTTATGCTTATATTTGAAGAGTTTAAAATGATTGCTTTGATAAATTGGCTTTTAAATTGTTAGTCTAAGCTCTACCACAAGTCCGGACATCATGTTTTCTCTTTTATTTCACGAATTATAGTTCAAATTCTTTTCGTTAAAAAAAAAATTGTTACAAATTATATATATTCTACAATCGGTTTAACCCAAAAAAAAAAAGAAGCAATTTAACTACCACTCCATCTCCTACTACCCCTCTCTTTACTCGATTCAGCTTTTGCAACTCTACTGATTAAGTTACAAAACAATGAAAACACAGTAATAATCAAAGACGAAATTAAATGCTATTATTTCAACTCACCTTACTGTCAAAAGAACACAAAGAGACGAACGAACTAGGCAGTTTCAACTACTTAGTCCCTATGCTAGAGAGGATCACACCACGAGCTATCAAAACCTGCTCAATTGATATTAACTTAAGTATCAATTTACAATAGTTTACAAAAAAAAAAAAAAAAAAAAAAGAATCCAACAAAAGAATGCAACCTCAGGGTCATGAATCAAATGTAACACAATGTTCCACTGCATGTAGGAATGTCTAATTCGTTGCTTGCAATTGATTAATAGGATCTCTTCAATTCGTCTAGTCTAAATTTTCACTTTTATTATAATGTGTACAAAAAATAAAAATCTAAACTAGATATTATTTGGAGACAGATAGAGTAATTAACTTTAAATTATCGAATCCAAGATGGAAGAACTCAATGTAAGAAATCAATATATACATATATATATATTACTATTAGGTTTAATTTTATATATATATATATATTACTATTAGGTTTAATTTTTTTTTGTGAATATATATATATATATCTAAGATTTAATTATAATTTTATTTTACTTATTTTAGCTAGTCTCTCTACTCTGGCACTGGAAACCTTGCTTCCCCCTTAGCGGAAGAATGAAGATATAGGAACAAATTTCAGTGGTCTTCTCCGTGTGGGAGTTTGGTCGTTCTCATTGGCTTAATCACATATTTTTATGAAAGAAATGAATCCATAGTTATTAAAGATAAAATTATTATACGAAAGTAAACACGAGGAAACCATTCCAAATATTAAGACTGAAGAAATCTGTGTGGATCAATAAACTTTAAACGGGTATGACGAAGTTTTACGGGAGACATGACGGTTGCAATATCTTTATATGCAATTGAATCCTTATCGTAAAAGTTATTTCAATTTTGTTCTTTTTTGGGAAAATCAGTTACTTCATTTTGTTTTTGTTTTTTTTTTTTTTGGTTCAACACAATTTGTCCATAAATAGTAGTGTTACTATATCGTAATTAAATTAATTTAATTTTATCCAATTATTTTCTTGGGTAATCAAAAGTAAATGGTTCATCGATTTATTACTATATAAGGGGTTTATGATGGATTATAACATTGATCAAGTATATACGAATGCAATTTTATTTTTGATGGTTTATATGGTGAATGTAACATTGATAAAAATAACAGCAAAATAGTTGATAGTGAATGTAGTTGAACCTGTGCACAGGCTTGCCAAGGCCTCTTATGCTCTGCACAATATGTATGATTTCTGTTTAGTTATAAGAGTGCATTTCCAGGAAAAAAAAATGTAATGAAGGTGTAAGGATTCGGTTTTTGAAAGTGGCAAAACTTTTGCAGAAGTCCGTATGGATTACGACGGTTGTATGATCCATAATCGGATATTAAATCATAATTGGAACATGATGTGATCGAAGTTTCATATCCACATACGATTTTAATTAGTTTAATAAGTAGGCATTTGCCTTCTTTATTATTTATAAAAAAAATTAAATGTAAAAAATAAATCAAAATGATTCAGAATCAAGAAAAACTTAAATTAAAATTACAAGTTCTAGTATCTTACCCCGCAACACTCCAGTCTCCACCCACATTTTGTGCAATTAGTTCCCTGTAGCATCCATTTTTGGGAGTTTTGCAAGGTTTTTTAAATATGGGAAAAAGGAAATTATATCATGATGCCCTCACAACTATAGTTTTGTGTGCAATATCTTGCACCATGAAATATTTTATTATGGCATGCATAAAACACAAATTGGCCAGCCAGCTAATCTTTCTCTATGAGGTTTGCTTGGAGTTCAGGATTTCTTAGTGAAAATATTTCTTTCATTAATCTGAAGATTTGCTTGTACATGATGCATAAAACGGAAGATTACGATGTTGATCAAACACCAAATTCTGTCGTAATGGTACGTTGGTTGTTGGAGGTTAATTTTCTTAAAAATCGTCCTCACAGAAGAATGTCTACGAATGGTTACGCTTTTACCGATTACATATGTAATTTTTTTCAGTATCGAACTCATAATAAAACTTAAACCAAAAAGTATCAAAAAAATCAATCCAAAATCGCCTATTTTGGGGTCCGTTTCCATTTTTAATTAATAAGAGGAACCAATGGGTTTTTCGTATGTTTTTTCCGAGATCAAAGACTGAAATACACCTATTTCAGTTTTGATGGGAGATCAATACAAGTTAAATCTCAAAGTACCAAAATAAGCAAAAGAAGAAACAAAGAGCAAAAAAATGAGAAAAGAATCGATGAAGAATCAGAAATTAGTTGCGGTTCAGGGATTATTATAGTTGAGCACTCAAAATCTGTGGCAAAATTGTTGGAATAGATGTAAATCTAGATTGAGGTGGTTTCTCCCAGTGAATGAATAAAATATAACGGTAGTACAGTAAAAATGTTATAAATTAATACACTTGGCCTCTAAAATTTTATTAATTTTATAGAGTTACTAATTTATTGATAAATAATTAATAATTTATAATTTATTAATTCAAAGAATAGTTTCAATCCTATTAATAAATAAATTTTCTAAATTTATAAATTTTACAAGGATAAAAGTTGGTTCCTAACCTATTTATCTTATTATAATTTTTTTTATGCAACAAAAAGATGACAATCGCAAAAAATGTAATGCTACATACCCTTTTAAAAATATATTACATTCAACGTTTGAAATTACAGTATTAATTGACCCAAATATGAAATAAGTTGGTATTTTTTTTGAGACAGAATTCTATACTTTTCCAAATGAAGCTTCCTTCCTGTACTTTTCAACATTGTTAAAGAAAAAGAGAAGCAATCATTGGAAAATTAAAACTGTCCAATATTAAGTTCCATTAAATAATTACGTGAGGGTAACATACCGACCATGCCTAATGAGCTGGATAAATATGTTGTTTCTCCAGAACGATAATATTGTCGTCCCGTTTAAATAATTACTTTATTGAATTAAAGTAATTCAACAAAAATAAAAGTATCAAGATTTGATGTCTACTACGTGAAATTTCCTTTGGTGCTTTACAAATCGAACAAACCCAACAAACATTAGAGCTTCTTCTTTTAACATACTCTTGGCATCTTAAAAAAAAAAATAGTTTATATTAATTTTACTGATTATACTCAGTTTTATTAAAATTTTTAAATTTTAATTTTGTCAATTTTTTTTAGGACAGAAGGAATATCAATATAACTTGCTAGAAAAGACTAAATTAATATGAGATTGGGTTTGTAAAATGTTGGGCACACTATTGTGGTTAATTGAATGTGTGACATATTTGGTTTCTTATTGCCTTCCTCATATTTTTATTATTGTCTGGTTGTGTATATTACTCTCTGTGTCCCGTTAAAATAATATTTACACCCTCTATCCCAAAATTATTGTTCAATTTGATATTTCACTTTTAGTACAATTTGAGCTAGAAATGAAAACTCAAACTGGACAATAATTATGGAACGAAGGGAGTATTATTTTCATGGTACCGAAGGAGTACATCATGTAAGTATTCAACACATACACTGGCATTGTTTAATCCATTGTCAACTTGGCATATACTATTCTGAAGAAAAGATAGCACACAGATTACAAACGTCCACTTGAAATTTCTTTCTTTTATTAAATTATTACCAATTATTCTTTTTTCTTTTCAACACTGCTTAGTTACCTTATCTTCATCATCTTGAAGCCCATCAGTTTTCCTTCGTTTGTTCATCCTTCTAACGTCCATTATGGCCATCCTTGGCTCCATTTCAGACTCCTCCACAGCAGCAAGAACAACAACCACAACAACGAACATTTCCTCCGACCTAATCCCTCTCCTTAGTCCAACCATAGATGATCTCGAGTCCATCCTGAACCAAGAGAAAGACGAGGTCAGCGACGAAACCATCATACTTTTCTTCAGGAACCTCAAATTGTTTCTTCTCTTAACCAAAAAGTTGGGCAAAGATCCGAGTCTCGAGTCCTTCTCGTCGATGATTGAAGCCATGTTTCGCAGATTCGCGGAGTATGTGCACACTTGTCGCCTTTTCTTTTCCGGTCAGGAGGCAACCAGCGACGACTATAAGGCTGCGCAGCTGAGCCCCGGTGAGTGGGAAGAGTTCTGGGCCTACTCTTTGTGGTCGGTGGGAACAATGAATCCAATCTACCTGACCCTCATTGAATCTTGTTCTTCCTCCACACATTCTTCAAACTCTCTTCCCGCAGATGAAGTTGATGATATCTTTGGTTGTGTGCTGAAGAATCTTCAGCTGCTCCAAACTTTTAAATGAGAACAAAACGGCGAAATTCTACGAGAATCCATGAGGGAATTGGGGGAGCAGATGAAGTTCTTGAGAAATCTCAACCTGTTTGCTTCACATTCAAATGCCAGGCAAGAAGATATATATGCTCATCATCTTGAAGCTATGTTAATTACTGCTTCATTTATTTTGTTCAAGTCTGATCCCTTGTATTGTGATGAAAGTATTTATGAAGAAAATCTTCCTCAGGTTTCAGAATTGATTCATACCATCCTAATGTTCACAAAACCAATTGAACCTCGAGTCTTTAAGATTTACACTGATCTCCTGAGTAGCTCAAAGTCAGGGAGAAGATTACTTGATCCTGCGGATAGAATAAACATGAACAGAGAAGTCACTCGGGCAAAAGATTTCCTCGAATCAGTCATGTCCAATCTTTGGGAGTTGCTACAAAAAGGTGATGTTCATCATGCAGTTTCTATGAAGGATCAACTATTAGAGCTCATATAGCCTCTCTCATCAATATCCGAACAAGTTTGAGCTGAAGACTAATGAAGACCTCATTTTCGACGCGGCGTATGATGCCGGGATCTTATTTTGCTCATTGTACCAGTCACACATGAAATTGGAGGATGAGCTTCGGTACTTGTTAAGAGCAATCAGACTTATCCAGGAAAAGCACGGCGAGAATGACGCGCCAGAATCCAAGATCAAGGTTCCCAGCACTGCTCCACTGTCCTTTGTTGATTTTCTATTAGAAAAACTCACAGAGCAGACCAGCCCTGAAGCTAAAACTATTCAAGTAGGGCTTGTCTCCTTAAAGTCAATGTTAGAAGAAATCACAGAGTCGCACCCTGAACAGGAGGAACTCCAAACTTTCTGGACTCGCAGTTTGGAGCTTGCGTACAAGATAGAGCGCCTCGTGGACTATCTAGTGGTTGGTGATCTTTCAGATTCTTTTTTGGCATCCTTTGGTTACATCATGGAAGACATGAAGAATTTGAAGTTAGAATTTGAACTCGAGAAGCCGAAAATCGAGAAGACGGGAGTAGCCATGACTCGATCTTGCCGTGTGGTATCTCGAAAATCTTTCTCATACAGAAATGAGGTTGTGGGCTACCTTGAGGAGGCAGAATCAATTAAGAATCGCCTCACAAGAGGATCAAAGCAGCTTCAAGTTGTTCCCATTGTTGGTATGCCGGGACAAGGTAAGACAGCTTTGGCTTTGAAAGTATACAATGATCCTTCTATTTCGTACCATTTTTCTGTTTGTGCTTGGGCTACTGTGTCACAAACAGGGGACGTAAAAAGAGTCCTCCTTGACCTTCTAACTCAAATTGATCCCAACCAATGTTCCGTAATTACTTGTGATCGCGATTTAGTAGAGAAAGTTGGGCACAGTTTAAAGGGAAAGAGATATCTCATCTTTTTGGATGACATATGGCAAACTGAAGCATGGAGGAGCTTTAAAGAAGCATTCCCTGAGGATCATAGTGCTAGTAGGATTATGTTGACAAGTCGTCGCCGTGATGTTGCTCCCGGCGAAGAGCCTCACGAACTTAGATCATTGACTGATGAAGAGAGCATGGATTTGTTAGGGAAGAAATTGTTTGGGAGTTGTTGGCCTAGTGAGTTAATTGATATTGGCACACAAATTGTCCAAATTTGCAAGGGATTACCTCTTACAATTCTTATTGTTGCTGGAATTTTAGTCAATACAGAGCCACACAGATGGGAGGCAATTCTTGGTGGTTTAAACTCGGCCATTGTTTCGAGTGTTGAACAGTGCAAAAAAACATTGGAGCTGAGCTACAACAACTTACCGGAGCATTTAAGGCCTTGCTTTCTCTATTTTGCAAGATTTCCAGAAGATCATATGGTTTCTGTTCGAAGGTTGCTTCGGCTATGGATAGCTGAGGGATTTGTTCGGAGGTCAGAGACAAATCATATTGATAATGATGCTGAAGACTACCTAAAGGATTTGATCGATCGGAGCCTAATAATGGTTGCCCGACAAAATCCTCTGGGTCAAATGAAAACATGCCACATTCATGACTTGTTTCATGAGTTTTGCTCGCAGAAAGCGAAGGATGAACTATTTCTCTCTGTTGTAAGAGGAAACAGTAAGCTTTTGGCATCTCATCATCAGCCACAAAATCTTCGGAGGCTATGCATTAAAGTTAATCCAATGCATCTCAGAGGGTCGGTTAGTTTTCTTTCCTATGCACGTTCTGTGAATTTCAACTATGACGCCAAAGAGCCGCAAAATTTCTCATTCATGTTTCAGACATTGAAACTTCTAAGAGTTTTGGATTTGGGACGGATCAATTTAGGTCATGTTTTCCCAAGTGAAATTGGGCTTCTGGTGCAGCTTGCCTTCTTGGAAATTAGAGGCTATATGAGGGACATCCCACCCCTGATAGCCAACCTCACCAATCTTGAAACCTTTATCCTGAATCAAATAAGAAAGGGAAAAGTGATCTCATTGCCTGACTCAATTTGGAAACTGCAAAAGTTAAGGCATCTTTCCTTGCCAACTCCAGGTGGTAGTTTTCCCATGGAAAGTCTTGCCACTTTATCAAATTTTTGCGAGTTGGGTTATCTTTCTGTTTTAGCTATACCTTACCCGACCAGCATGAACATGGAAGGGTTGCTGAAAATGTTTCCAAATGTGCGTGAGCTGAAATTCACCATTTTTACTTCTTCTGAAGATATAGGAGATCATGTGAAGATTGTTGTTCCTCAATCTTTGAGCCAACTAGACTCACTTGGTATATCACTACGCGTCGGCCGACAATCTGAACCTAAAATGTTTGAGTTTAGTTTGCCCCGAAAGTTGAAGAGGTTGACAATGTCTGGGTTCTACTTATGTTGTAAGAGCCTTTCAACCTTTTCTAAACTTCCAAACCTTGAGGTGCTCAAATTGGATGCGGTACATTTCGAAGGAAATACGTGGGAAATGGAAGAAGATGAATTCTCCAAACTTAGATACTTGCAATTGAATTCATGGGAGCTTCACTCCTGGAATGCTACTGAGGAACAATTTCATTGTCTTGAAAAATTGGAATTGAGGGCTTGTACATCTTTGAAGGAGATGCCTTCTTGCCTAGAAGATATTTCAACGCTGGAAGAGATCAAGATTATAATGTGTTCTGACGCTGCTGTAGAATTAGTGGACAAGATTAAGGAGGTACAAACAGAAAGTGGAAATTCAGAGCTAAAGATCATTACTTCTATATCTAATTAATTCCTTTGTAGCTCATCTTATGGATTTGAGACAAGTGATAATGGTTCGTGTGGTTTTATTACTATTCTGTATCAGTGATTCAATGGTTGTATTGTTTATTTTTTTTTATTTTTTGTTCCCATTTAGGACAATGAAACTACTAAAATGGCATGAACGTAGATGCATCATTATGTAGTTCTTTAAATACTCAGGGATGGATGAATGAATGAGAAAACAAGAATAAATTGAGATAATGCATTCCAGGAAACAGGATAAGATCCACAGACATTTAGTTAGGACTGAATGTTTGTTGCATTATACAATTTAGAAACAAACCTAACCCTCTGCTACATTCTGATGATAACCGAGATCATTGGCAAGAACATTTGGTAAGATCAGCCCGCTTCATCTGACTCAACGCTTAACATTGATCCCAAAGTTTCAGAACCACTCATCATATAAGGAAGGGGTTTGTTCTCCTCAGCTCTCTTTTTCATCAGCAGCTGGAAATGAGAGATCATTGAGTACCGGTTCATAAAGGAACTTTACGACTTAATAAATGTTTAGACGGTGGATGAAGAACAAGTCCTACACTTCATCACTCGAGACATGAACAAACAGGTTGTATTCCATTTTCTGGCTAATTTCCTGAATTTTGACAAATTACATGAATAAAAGTAGTAATGTATCATGAGTCAATGATCTGTGATGATGAAAGCAGATACTGAAGATAAACAGCACTCAGTGAGTGGCTAGTATGACAAAACTGTAAATGAATTTCGTACGATTAAACTTGTACTAGAAAATCAATGTTTAATGGTGTGTAATTGAGATTATACCCTGCTAGACGTGCTAACAAGCAATCATGAAATCTGGCGGACCTCATTCTGCAGCTTCATTGAAACTGAAGACTTGTCCTTGATGTCTATTCTAAAATCTGGGAGTTCATGTTCCATGTCCATCACCTACACAGATGCTCCAGTTTCTTGCATTTAATCGATGAAGGAAAAGAAACCATCAAACATAAGAGAGCCCAGTACAGAATATTTTGGTATAGTTTTACCATTGCTAATTTCCAGCAGAAAATGCAACAATAAAAGTTTCAGCAAAATAAATCAAGCTATGGAAATGGAATACAGCAAACCAAAAGTATGCAAAAAAAAAAGGGAAAGGTATAAAAAAAAAGCAGGTCACCAAAGCTACAAACTACAGTTTTGTGTGCAGAGTAGCTCAATTATCCATGTAACCATGATAATATATTCTTAAACAATGTCCATTAAGGTAGAATCCAGACCACACTAATAATGAAGGTGCAGTGGTACATTTCGAAAAGATTCACTGCTTAGAAGACCTTGATTTCCAATTGTAGTGATAACGGTTGATTTGTTACATAAAAGCATGGTAATTTACTCTTTAATTAGTAAGAAATTAGGAGTGTTTCTCAGAATTAGTTCATTTTACTTAACTAGTTTTGTGTTTTTAGTTAGGCAAGGACCTGAGTGAACATTAGCTGAAAAAGGAGGTTTTTGGAACAAAAATATGAGCTGATGAATTCAAGCTAGCTAATCTGGTCAAAAACAACTCCAAGACACAAAGCATCTTGAGAGTAATGAGTTTATATAAATTTTTTTTTTTTGTTTAAATTTTTTTTTACACCGGTTAGGCCCTAGCCTAATGATGGAAAATCGTTAAATTCTGTCAAAATCCGTTAAGTGGACCAAACATGTTGAATAAACGAGAAACGTGTCCAAAATTTATGGTGACCAAAAGTTGTGACCCCCTTATTGAAGTGCCCACTTTTGCACGGTGATTTGGAAGATACACATTCACTTTTTAACGTCAAGTACACACAAATAAGAAACGGCAACATCGGCTGCACATTAATTGTTGGCACTTGGATTATGCTTTTATGTAATCATACGAAAATAATGACGTTGCCATCGTACACAAAAAACGACCATGAGTGGATGTCAAGATGCCCTAATATGCCGTTACCATTGCACAAAACATCGGCACAGTAGAAGTTGCAACATTCCTGGGTGCGAAACTACGTTAAAAAGTCCCATATATGCATCAAAACAATCTATTAAGTTCTGTTAACATCATGCTTCCTACTGTTAACGCTTCCCATTTGACACTTCTTCTGAAAATGATCTCTTCTCGCTACCACCAATAGACTCACCGTGCCTTAAGCTTGATCTGTATCTTGTGTACACCTCCCAATGCGGTATGATTCATATGTGGTGGCCGTGCATTAGGTTTATAACAAAATGCATCCACTGTGGTTGGCCCATGATTCTTCTTGCACAATTACATATATGGACTGATAATGCACTTGTAAAGAAGTGGATAAATCGCGTAACCACAAAGATGAGAATGGTTTACATACCGGCATGGTGCGGCTTTGTTCTTCCACATTTGGGGCTGCAGTACGACCAATTTCAGGTGGTTGCTTTGTAGTATTGACTAAATCTGCACCTTCTTGTTCAGAGTGGTTCGGATCACCACACATATCTGGATTTCCAGTGGGTGCAGAACTATGAATTTGTTCGTGGTCACAGAAAAATGAATTAATAATTCAACGGAACATCCAAGTCAAGCAGAACACATACCAAACACATACAACAGTTTTGTTTTTATCATGTGTTCCTTTCTCCTTATACATGCATACCTGTTTAGGTGGTTGTACGGAACTACCACCCATTTCAGCACCTCCTATCGGGATTGTAGCAGTTGTCGGTCGTGTTGCAGTACCATTACTTCTTATATTTCGACATGTACCATTTCGCCTTCCTTCTTGTGCAGCACTATCATTCTGGGCATGATTAAAAAAATTGGAAAAAATTTGTTATAGGAAAAAATATTCAACTGAACTATGAAGTATAGTTCGGGTGCAACAAAAGGCCACTAATCGAGTGAAGTTTTGTTTGTAAGAAAAAATACATCCACTACAGGATCGGTGCATCTTCTCACATTATGATTTCCAGCTCCACATCTGCTACAATGCATTGTCAAAGGTCTCTTCGCCCTCACTGTTCCATCATCATAAAACCGAGTATCTTCATCAGTTTTTTTTTTCTTATGGTTGCCCCAAGCATTGCGGTCAAGTGAAGGTTGTAGTTCGACATTCTTTGTCACTGGCCATCGATCCATATGGTCAATTGGATACAACACATTCTCATACAGTCTTACCATGTCTTCCTTGGAGTAGTACGGGCTACCATGGTCGATAATTTCACCCCCTTGCTTGAGAATGCAACAGACTACATGAACACAAGGGAAACCTCGAAGTTGTCACAATCGGCATGAGCATGTCTTTCTTTGTAGGTACACCACAAATTGGCCAGAAGGCCCTATGCATTGATATCCATCTTTACTGTTGCCTGTAGCCTGCCAGGGGATTGACATTTTCATGGTGTCATCTATGATTTCTTTGATGCTTTGGAGGGGGACAACAAAAGGATAAGTTCTAATCCAATCAGCCCTCTTCTGGATTCGAGACATCTGAAGCGTCCTAATTTCCTCTAGCATTGTGAGTATAGGTTTCTCCCGTGCTTTTTCTTTCATCGCTTTAAATTTTGCACACATATTTACGAGAGTGTCACATTTTGTGTCCTCAGAGAAGTTAGCCTTTACCTAATGCCTTGGGTGAACTGCTTGTTGCACTGTGTTCCATGCATCTCCGTTAACAGCCTTCGTCGCAACTTTGTTCTTTTTGTAGGATGAAGTTTCAGTTGAACATGCTACATCCCAAAACAGTTGTTTCAACATGTTTCCTGAAGACACACAGAACAAAATTAGGCAGCTAATGTGAAATATGAATCCCAAATCCTATTACAAATGTAAATAACATAAACATATTACTGGGGTGACGCGTCTTGAACTCTGTATACATATGTTGCACACATTTTCTTTGCTCACAGTTGGGTAAGGTGTGGGTCAATGCTCTTGCAAGCCCCTGAAAAGCAGTATAGTAATAGTAGTATGTTTCTGTAGAAGGTAATGAAAAGGACATAATCCAGTACCAATGACACTACAAAGGTAAAGCATGTACCCTTCAATGGAGCAAATCAAATATTTACGTACCTCATGTTGATCTGACATTACACTGTAATGTGAAGAAGCATCCAAGGTGAAGTCGTTATTCAATATGGACAAGAACCATTCCCACTGCTCCTGACTATTGTCTTCCACAACAACCCAAGCAATTGGCCACCAACCATTGTTGTGGTCAATTCCAATTGCTGTCACGAGTTGGCCTGGGTAAGGCCCTTTGATAACACATTCATCCAAACATATAATTGGTCAACAATGCATCTTGAATCCCCTTTTCAAGGGGCCTAAACAGTTGTAAAACCTAATAAATGTAGGGTTCTTTCCTGGGGAATAATGCACCTCCACCGTACTGCCGGGATGAGTTCTCATAAGCTTCTGTTTGTAATTAAAAATCAGCTTGTAATGGTCTGCTGCATTGGAGTTTATAATACTTTCCCGTGCCATGAATCTAGCCTTGTATGCCACAGAGTTTCCAATTTCAGCGTTGAAATAATCATGAACACACTTCTGTATGAGAGATATAGGTATGTGATGATCAGCTCTGAATTTCTCCAAGTACTTTTTTGCCAACCATTTTGCAGAGACCTTCTTGTTCTTCTTATCCGGAGTGCAAACTGTGTGAATATCTCTCATAGAATGCACGATGAAAATCTTCATACCATCATGATTTATCTTCTTCGGATATACGAACCATTTGCATCCTCCATTGCACGTTGCCCTTAGACAGTCACCTTCATTTGTGTACATGCTCACCGGTCTACCCGACAAAATGGAGTAAGTTTTGACGGCATTCTTAAAGTCATTCTTAGAATCGAATTTCTGATGCAACCGAAACTCTGGAACACCATCTGTACTCTTAAAATCTGTGTACCTACCTTGATGGAAAGCAGCTTCATCATCATTCATGGGGTCGCTGTGGAGTTCTAGATTGGCATTATCCTCCCACATGTCCGTTTCTTCTTCTGGACCCTTATCTTTAAACACACGCTTTGGTTTGGGGTATACTCAGCCATTAGAGGATTTTGCAGACTTAGCCTTAACTGTTTCTCCAAAGGGCGGACATTCACGTGAAGCAACAGCACTCTTAGCCCTAGGGTTCGTTGATGATCCAGATTGATCATATGTACTACTGTCCCTTTCTGTATCGTTGTCCCTGACGGTAGGTTGACTGGCCAGATCTGTATCCCTCGGAAACGACACACCATTGAAGTATGTATCACCCAAATCTAATCTCCCCACCGTACTAACAAGCACAGGAAAAAAAATGTTCATCTCTGCACAATCCGAACACATTATCCATGTTTGCAAAACCGATATTAGGAGAATCCACACCAAATGTCCCATGATGCCCAATAATTGTTTCAACCCGTTGGTAAACTTCTGGACAAGAAGCATGCTTCTCAGCACCTTCTGCAACAATGTATCGCACGTGTTTTGTCTCATCGACGCCACCAGTACATGTTGTATACGGCCTAGCTTGATGGACTGCTCTGTGAAATGATCATCATCACTTGCATCTACAACTACAACATCTTCATTAGGTGTGTTGGTCCCAGGGAAGTTACATGCTCCATAGATGGTTCTGTTACCAGGAGAAACCACCTCTTCATTAGCAACATTCGCGTGGAAATGAATACCGTGCTACCCTGCCAAGTCGTGGTATTCAGATGGCCCCGTTGCGCTAGCAACCACACCACTACCTGATGAAAAAATGACACCATTGTGGTTAAAGGGGCCATTTCCACTATCATAGTAATCTGCAACTCTTGATGCTGGATGGCTGGCAATTGAAATTGAATCGACTTTTCCTTCACCGTCAGCAATCTTCTGTGATTGAGGAATCTGACCGGATGCTTCAACTTCACTGAGACCAAATGATTTCCTAAATGGTCTTTCAAGAAGCTCAAGGAACTCATGATCTTCATCTTTCCATTCAATGAGGTGATCCCCTGTTTGAACTGTTGTATTTTTTTTTCACAAGGCTGACTGGCGTGTGTTTCTCTGAAGCAATCTCCTCTATGGTGACACTGGATTTTTTTACAATGTATACATTCGTTGGGATTCTGAAAGCTTTGTATTCTTTCACCGCAAATTCATCATACACCTTGCCCTGATCTTCTTTCAACCTTTCATCAGCTTTAAAAGGAGTGACATGCTCACAATAAACATCGAAAAGCCTGTACTCCCCAACAAAATCCAGTAAGGCTCTTAAATGCGAAGGTTCAACCAATGGAATGGAAGTAATTCAACAGTGTTGTCCTTTTCGGGGTGCCTGTAGTAACTGTAAACAATAGTTTCCCTATGGCATCTCAATCCCACTATAGCAGCACTAAGATGTACAAGGTTGAAATAATTGGCATTGCAGTAGTCAAGGTACGAAACCTTTCGCCTGATATATCCCCACGGAGTAGAATCTGTTACTTTTCCACCGTGATGAATTCTGATAGTGAAATATTTCGTGTCGCGGCCTGTATCATTATTATAAACCCAACCCATAAGGAATAAGACCATGCATATATTAACGACAAGGGGTACTCAAATAAGAACAAAAATCTTCATGGACAAAGAACTAATAATGAAAAGTAAAGGTACAATCCTAATTCCATATGTAACCCAAAACCAGACCAAATGTTTAGTACCCGCAGTTCACAAATGTTTTTTAGGCCCTTTTATAACCATGGTTTCAGTGACATAGACAACACATTTCAGCAGAACCATCCAAAATATAAGATTAACTGTCAACAGATTTGAGGGTTCCACTTATGACCCACAAAAAGATGGAACGTTCAGTGAAACTTACCGTAGGCCATATAGGGATCAAAGGAGACTCCAGCTCTACGAATTTCCCATTCATCCAGGTCATGAATCACTACAGGAACTGGGGGCTGTCGTGACCTTGACAGTTGCTTCTTCAGAGGTTTTGGTGTTGGCGGCTGGTTCTGTGTAGTCGTTCTCCTCTGGGTAGATAGCCCCACCATTAGGGTCTCGGCCGATTTCCTCTTACGCATGGTTACGGCTCTCAATCAGGACCACAGTAATTGGAAAGCAATGTGAGATGTTAGTGGTAGGGTTTGGTCGAATGTTTTTTCGATTGGGGTTATGTTGGGTCACTGCCCCCAGTTGTTTTTTTTTTGTACATGACACAATGACTGAAGTACCTTCAATTTCAAATTGGAGTAATTCCGACAAGGGAAAAAATAGTTGAGTGACCATTTATGTTTGAATTATAACTTTTCCAAAAAAACAAAAACGTTGAGTGATCTTTTTGAATTATTATTAAAGTTGAGTGATCTTTTTTGTAAGTCATAACTGAATCAGTCTAATTTCGACACCATACAGAGGTAGTTATAATTTATAGTAGACACAACATCCCAGTCATAAAACACATACAATAGAGTTCTCTAATAAGGTTTCTCCTAATTATACAACACATCACAAGTAGTCAGAATTTCACTTGAAAATGAAAATCTTCAATCGGGAGGCAAACATCCTGCATTATATGTCAGTTCAGTCAGTCCATCCATATCGTATCTACCAAAACATCCAGAAAGTTCTCCTGTAGATTGGTCATCTGGGGAGACTGGTCAAGTGGTTAAAATTCGCCAATATAAGGCCCTTCAGCATCCTGCTGGGCCTGAAAAGCAATGTCATCCTCCCGGTCACCATCCGCCGGGAAATGATCCCTAAGGAGATTGTGAATAGCACAACATGCAATGATGTAATCTCATTGTGTGTCAAGATTCCACCTAAACATTGGACCCAAAAGTATCTGGAACCGGTTCTTCAGGATACCAAACGCTCGCTCTACAACATTTCGTATGGATGCATGCTTATGATTGAACAAGTCTCGTGCAGAATCCAACTCGGATCTCCCGGCTCCACGCTCTGCAATGTGGTATCCATGTTTTCTGAAATAAAGGTGCTAAAATCCTGGAATATTTTTGTACCCGGAATCAACGACATAATACTTTCCGAGCGAAGGGAATGGAAAACATAAACGCTCATCCGTTACTGCAACTTGAAAAACTGCAGCATCATGAGCGTTGCCTTCGGCTCCAGCATAGACAAATGTAAAGCATCTATCATGGTCAACTGTCATCATTACATTAGTAGTGAGATTCCCATGCCTATTACGATACCGCGGTTGTATATGGAATGGTACTCACACATCAATGTGAGTCCCATCAATTGCGCCACCACAATCCTAATAACAGGTAACCATTCGTATTGTTACTACAAACTCGATATAAAGTTCATACAACATAAAAGATGATATTGTACACTAGAAAGGCACCGTGCACATACTTTAAACACAGGATGAGCAACAGAGTGTTTGAGATGAACATTCTGCTGTTACTGGATGCATATTGTACATTTTTAAATGAACAACAGAAAAATCTTAATGGAATCTGTGGCAGTGAAACCAAAGGAATTCGAAGCACCGTGAATTGGGACAACAAACATAAGGTTGATAGGATTGTACAGCAGAAAGTCACCGTGGACATCATACATTAAACACAGGATGAGCAGCATAGTGTATGCTATGAACATTCTACTCTTACAGGATACATATTGTACATTGTTAAATGAAACACAAAAATAGTAATGGAGTTTGTACAGTGAAAAAAAAGGAATTCGAAGCACCGTGATTAGGACACCAAAAATAAAATATGAAATTGTATACCAGAAAGTCACCGTGAACATCATGCTTCAAACACAGGATGAGCATCACAGTGTATGAGATGAACATTGTAATATTACAGGATGCATATTGTGCATTGTTCAATGAACAACACAAAACTTTTAATGGATTATGTTCTGTGTGGAAGAAAGAGGAAACCGAGGCACCGTGATTGGGACAACAAACAGCAATGAGAACAAGTAAAACAAAATATGAAGTCAAGCAATATACCTGAAAGTAAGGCGTAAGAGATGAATTGCGTGCTATCTGTGGATGAGTTGATGTTTGGAACCGAGGAAGAATAACTAGTTTAGCAAACCTAGCAATTGCCTCAGCCATATCGCAAATGGTTCGTGACAGGGTCTCCTTCAACCGCTCAAACCTATCTTTAGTAGTGCGAATAGTTTGATCACCGGCAACCATATACAAAAACAAAAACAAAGCTTCATCGATAAGAACTTTGTCGTTGTGATGTTCAACCCAAAAGCCATTGTCCAAAAGGCCTCCGCGCAGCGCAAAATACGTCGCGTGATTTAGTCGAGTTACATCATAGAGTTTTACTGGGTTTGGATGATTAAGCACTCGAAATGCGTACTGTGCACCCGACTCAGGAGACTCCAAATTTTGTGCATTCAATACTTGTTGTTGTTGTTGGTATTGATGGAAAAGGTGAAGCATCAACAAATCCAAAAAATCTTGATGAGCAGCGTCACCAATATTCGATGACATGTCATCGGAATCTTCATCGTTTTCATTGCGGTAAGTAGAAGGACCAGCACCACTCATATGTATCTACTTGCCATTTAAGAAGGAGGCAATGTAAAATGACAAACAATTGGCAAATCCAATACACTTATAATTGATCACAACAATAAGTGAACACACCGAGTTTGACAAACCGTTAAAGTCAACAATGCCCGTAGAGAATGTTTTCTCGTAATGGTCTATTTTAGGGAGGCTACTTTGACAAATGAGAGTGATACAAAATGCCACCAAAATGAATTGCACATGGACTTCGAATTAAGTACACAAAAACGTGCCGATTTCATGCAATGTTTGTTCAATTCAAGCACTGTCAGTTGTGGTGTCCCAATTATAGGAAACTTTCACAGATGCAAACAAAGGTCATAACACCCCCCTCCCCCCATTCTACATAAAACCATTTATGCAATGTGTAATATCTTTTTTTTTTTTTTGGATGAGTTCATTTGCAATCCTACATTTAGACTATTACCATATTCAAAAGACTAGCAATCGTACCATTTACAAATGGGAAAATTCAAATGAAGAGAGTAGAGACATTCCTAGATCCACACCATTCTCAAGTGCATCTCTATTAAATAAAGACTCTTACAACTTTTTCAAAAAAAAAGTATTAGATCAATGCAAATGTATACAACAAACTTTACCCGTTTGAGCCTCATACTGGTGCGGGAAAATGACACATAAAATGTTAGCCGATTGTGGCACCGAAACTGGAAAAGCAGCGGACTGGGACAACACTTCTTTTTCTGTTTTTTTTTTTAAATGTGGAAGACAGTCCTTTTTCCATGCTTGTCAACGTAGACACATTTGTGCAACGTTTTGGGTAATGATCGATTTGTCAAAACAAAACTATCTAAAGTAAATCAGCAACATTTAACGCCTACTTCCCCAACCATTACAAACAACATTTTGGAAATCAATCATAATGTTAATTGTTGAATTACAATGAAACAATGCTCACGTACTCAAATCAGGAAATTGATCCGTACACAAATATGATAAAAGTGCGTTACTACATGGCAATTAAAGTGTTTCAAGGTAGCCGCTGAACCCACTCATACTTCTCTTTAGGCCTCAATGCCAAGAAAATGTATGCCTTATGCTTATGCTTTGTTATCTCATCAACTGCTTTCCAGAAATCTGGTTTTGGAAATCCCATTGAGTAAAGAGCGTCGATAGCGACTCTTGCAGGCTCGACCTTGTTGCTCATCCTCAGTTGATTCTCTTTTTGGACGTCATGATACAGCTGCAATATGCTCTGAAAACTTGGTTCGTCTCCCTTACTCTTCTTTGTACCACGAGAATCAACTGTTGATGGGCCACCTTCAACAGGCCTTTTTCCCGTGAGAGTTTGTTGCAGGACTGTCATCATCAGTCGGATTGTCAGCAACGTCATCACTTGGTCTCCAAGAGGACAAGCCACCACGCGACATGTTTGCCGTTTGCGCATGAAAGAGCTCAGTCAACGCATCATAGAGTGGGAGTGGCTTGTCCCCGAATCTGATTGCGCCCGAAATTCTCTGGGGAACCAGTTTGAATATGATTAGTGCTTTTGAATGTAAACTTACAAAACACCTTGCATACTACGACAAATAGCGTATTGGGATTGTAAGGCATAAGGCTACCAAACGGCGACAAAAAACATGACCAAATTCCAATGAACATCATAAGGTGAAGAAATTCGTTGTTTAACAGGTGAAGAAATTATATAGTTTGACATAGCAATACCCCAGAGTAACATGAACATCACAAGATTACAGGATGTGCATTATTTGATACAAGATGAACGTTACGAGTTAATCAGATAAATATTGAACATCAGAAGGTTCTTTTTTGCTGTGACTAACAGAAAATGCAGGCAAAGCTACACATCATAGCTTTACAGGATGAGCAACAGCTATTACAGGAAGCACATCAAGTTTCGACAGTTGAACTTGACGTTTTACAGTGAACTTCAGGAAGTACGCAATATTTATTTTCAGCATAGCAGTCCCCAAATATTATCAGTATAGCAGAACAACAAATAGGGAAAAACTTCCACTTCGAAATGGAAGAAGGAAAAAAAAGTTTCAAGTCTGGTTACGAACCTAGCGACTAACAATAAACAGACAAATTTCAATAAAATGAACATTATAGTGACGAAGAATAACAAGCCTATGCTAGGATCACCAGTAGTGAACATCAACAAATAGCTCAAGGAAGTACGCATTTTACGCAATCATACAAAGCAAAGAGAAAGACGATGATTGTACGTACGCTATTCAATGATGCCCAATATTCGTAAACAAAAACTTTCAGTTCATCATTCCAGCCTACACTAGTTGTAGCTTTTAGTTTTAGCCCAAATTTTCCATTCACGCTTCAGTCTATCCTATTTCTGCTTTAGTCTTTCAACATCTAAAGTTTTACCGACAGCCTTACTAAACTCAGTTGCAATTTGGGTCCACCTAGGAGGCCTAAAGTTGGCAGTCGGCTGTTTACATTCTCTTTTTTTTTTGCAACCATAATATGTACAAAGACCTTCTCAATCTCAGATGTCCACACAAACTTGGAGAAACCCTTTCCGCCATCGTCATCATGGTCATCCATTGTTAGCTTCCTTGGCGACTACATAGTGAAAGGGAAAACATAGATTAGGCCAGAGATGAGTAGGTAGGAGTTCTGGTGGCTGAAAAAATAATGACAGGGACAACCACCAATTAAAAGTATAATGACCGTACCTCTTCGCTGTTGCGAATACAAGTGTCAAGGTCATTCTCGACTGTCTCAGAGGCCACAGATGTTGAGAGTTGGAGTATATCTAACAATGGAATCAGATAAAAGCAAACAGATAATCAAACCACTATTGGAACTCATATAGGCCGTTATTGACTTTACAGTTTAGATTGCCGAAAGTAACATGTAGTACAGATTAAGGGCATACCTCTGGCAGCTGAATGCTCAGATTTTGTGGTTGTTGGGTTTTCTACAATAGAATTTGCAAACACAATGTCACAACAATACATAAAGTAACAATAGATTTCCTGAAAATGTAATGGGAGTAAAGGGAAGATACGGCTGCCTTCGGATTGCACAGTTTTTGAAGGTGTTGGAGTAGCTGTAGATGTTGACTCAGAGGCTACAGATGTTGAGAGTTGGGGTATATCTAACAATGGAATAAGATAAAAGCAAACAGATAATCAAACCACTATTGTAACTCATATAGGCCGTTATTGACTTCACAGTTTAGATTGCCGAAAGTAACATGTAGTACAGATTAAGGGATACCTCTGGCAGCTGAATGCTCAGATTTTGTGGTTGTTGGGGTTTCTACAATAGAATTTGCAAACACAATGTCACAACAATGCATAAAGTAACAATAGATTTCCTGAAAATGTAATGGGAGTAAAGGGAAGATACGGCTGCCTTCGGATTGTACAGTTTTTGAAGGTATTGGAGTAGCTGCAGATGTTGACTCAGAGGCCACAGATGTTGAGAGTTGGGGTATATCTAACAATGGAATCAGATAAAAGCAAACAGATAATCAAACTACTATTGTAACTCATATAGGTCGTTATTGACTTCACAGTTTAGATTGCGGAAAGTAGCATGTAGCACAGATAAAGGACATACCTCTGGCAGCTGAATGCTCAGATTTTGCGGTTGTTGGGTTTTCTACAATAGAATGTGAAAACACAAGGTCACAATAATGCATAAAGTAACAATAGATTTCCTGAAAACGTAATGGGAGTAAAGGGAACATACGCCTGCCTTCGGATTGCACAGTTTTTGAAGGTGTTGGAGTAGCTGCAACATCAGTTCCAGCAAAATATCAGAGCGAATTACACAAAAAACCTTCAGACATAGACCGTAAAGAACAAGTATAGGATGTCAAGAAAACATGCCTACGCTCTCTGAATTGAGGTTAGCCTCAGACATAACCACAAACCTGCTTTACACATGGAATGAAAACAGAAGCATTATACCAACCAACATTCACAACAACCAAACAATATACAAATGTGATATCAAAAAAATTTTAAACACACAGGCACTCAGAATTATTTCAATCTGCATACAGGGGTTCCAAATCCCTTAAGCGACCACAACCGAACAAATGATTAGGAAGATCCGACGTTATAGGCGAGTTGGTTGGAAAAGACACCAATCCACGACTCTAGATTCTGCGGAGTATACAAAAAAATACCATGGTCAACGAAACTTTCAGCCAAGACATTCCATAGGTATACTCAGAAGTACGGCACACTAGGCCGATTCATACAAGGAGGGAGATAAAAGGCAAATCCTGCTTACACGCAATGAACATGACATCAGATCCATAGGTACTTACCCTTTGGATGGGTTTCCTGCGCAACAGCCTTGACCCCGTAATTATCTTAATCGAGTGTTGACATATTCAAATCGAGTGGAGGGCGGCCTGCATTCGTCTTCGTGTAACACAGGAGCGATTAGAACACCAGATCTGAATAGAAGAGTAGCTTGTTGACCGGTGCTTCAACAGAGGGGGATAACGACCAATGAAAAACAAAATCCCATATCTGAGAATTAAGAGTAAGGGGAATGGAAAAACCTTAGATGAAGGAGGCCGATTCAGCACTGGACAAACTCGTGTTTTGACTTGGATGCTGGAGATCTGGACATGAAAGGAAGGGAAGAATGAGATGGAGAAAATGAGAAATGTGGCAACATTAAAGCCAAACTGAAATAAATGCCTTGTTATATTTAGTCACTGAATTATTTTTAGTTCTAAAATGGTCATTACACTAACAAAAAGTGTTTCAAGTTGGAATTTAAAATGTAAATCAGACCGTTGTTTGGATGATATTTTCTTTTCCATTGAGTTTTGTGTTTAAGAGGTAAAATGAGTGAAAATGAAAAATGAGTGCTTGTCCAAACATAGCTGAAGTCATTTAGTTTCCAGTAAGCAGATTAGATAATCTACTCCATAACCAGTTTGAGCCCTCCCACTATCTCAATACTTCCTTTTAGACATCAAACACACAAGTAAAATTAGACCTAGAAAATAGAAAAGAAAAAGACAACATTTGACATACCACTCAGACTGGAAATTTGGCATTTTGAAATGCATAGTAAAACACATTATCACTAACCAATCCTCATCTACTACAGAGCAAAAAATTAGAAATTTTACATCTTTTTCGTCACCAAAAGAGCAAAACTCACATTCTTTTCTACAATTTCGCGGGCTCCCATAATTCAAACAATCATAATATCAAACACCTACAGAGAGTAGAGAAACAATCGAAATCTACATAAGTTTGTTTTTAACATGAAAATGATTTTGACCTCGATACTTCATGATTTGAAGAAAAGAAGCCATAACACCGGAGACGGGTTGAAGTGGAGCTGAGGTAAAACATCTTTTCTTTGTCACGGGCTTACTTTTTCAAAGTAACGGCCGTGCGGCACTAGCACAAAACAACTAACGATCAAGTGCTAGCTCAGCCTTCAGACCCCCAAAGCGTGCAAAGCTAGACAAGACTTTAAAGAACGGAGGCAAAGAAAAACTTAAGAAAGGTTGAAAGTGAAAGAATGATGAAGGCACAAGAGAGCTTAGGGAATGCTTGAGAACTCTACTCAAAGCTTGGATGGATTACAAATGAAGGGGGGCATGGGGTATTTATAGGCAAACCCCCAAGTCCTAAAGAATTCTAGAGAATTCTATGTAAATAATAAAATAATGGGATTCTAGAGAATTCCTACAATAAAATATTCTAAGTTCAAAATATCTACAAGTCTCTAGAATCTTCCACACGGTTCTAGCAAACTCGGGTAGCTTCCACACGGTTCCACTCGTTTCTAGAGAGTTCCGGACTTCTCTAGAAAATTCCAGAGTCTTCAAGATTTGACTGGAGAATTCCACAAGGTTCTAGACCGTTCCGTCCCATGTCCGTCTACGAAAATAGCCCGTTTCGCATCAAACCACCCGAATTCGTGGTGAAGAAAAACTGTCCGTGACATCCTCCCCCACCAAAATGGTGCATCGCCCCGATGCACCTAAGTCTCGAAGGCAATGTTGATAGGAACGGGTGCACGATTCTCCTCAAAGTCCTCGATCAATTTGGTGAATTGCCAAAGCTTCTCGATTGGCTCCCAACTCGTCTCACTCATTGGCAAATTCTTCCATTTCACCAAGTATTCTTTAGTTGCTGCCCCGCTCCTGCCCCGAACGATCCTCTTAGAAAGGATCTCCTCTGCGGTCCGTTCCTCATGCTCGCGTACGCCAGCTGGTGCCCTTGAGGAAACGTTCCGTTCTTCGTCCTCTGGGTCCTTGCGGTATGGCTTAAGTAGGCTCACATGAAAGACTGGATGAAGCCTTGAGAAGGCCTCGGGTAGTTCCAGCTTGTAAGCAACCGAACCCACTTTCTTAAGAACGGTGAAAGGACCTCGTATTCGCGCATGAGACCCTTGTGTAGACCACGGCTCCGTCCATGCTCATAGAGCTTCACCAAGACTTGGTCGCCTTCTTCAAACTCGCGACGGGTCCGTTTCTTATCCGCCCATTTCTTCATGCGTGCGGCCGACTTCTCCAAGTAGAGTTTTGCCTCGTCGGCCCGTTCTTGCCAATCTTTGGCAAACTTGTATGCGGGTGGGCTATTGCCCTTATAGCCCCCAAGAATGTCCTTAGGCGTAGTTGGTTGGAAACCAAGGACAATCTCAAACGGACTTTTGCCCGTGCTCTCACTCCGCATCAAGTTATAGGAAAATTGGGCAACGTCTAGCAAATGTACCCAATCTTTCGGTTGGCTGCCACATAGTGCCCGAGATACACTTCCAAGAGGCCGTTGATGCGCTCCGTCGCCCATCTGTTTGCGGGTGCAAAGATGTAGACATCTTGAGCTCCGTCCCAAGCAAACGAAAGAGTTCTTGCCAAAACGGCCGGTGAACCTCGAGTCCCCGTCGCTTATGATCGATGTAGGCAGCCCCAATACTTCACCACATGCCTAAGAAAGAGTTTGGCCGTTATCTCCGCGGTGCACTCTTTTGGGCGGGAATGAAGACCGCATACTTAGACAAACGGTCTACCACAACAAGTATGTTGGAGCAACCTCGAAACGGGCAGGCTCACGATGAAATCCATCGAAACGCTGTCCCACGGGCGTTCCGGAATAGGCAAGGGTGATAACAAGCCATGCGGGAGATCTTGCTCGGTCTTGTCTTGTTGGCAAACTAGACAAGTCCTTACATACGTCTCCACGTCTTCCCGCATGCGAGGCCAATAGAACCGTTCATGGACTAAGGCAAGTGTGCGATGCGTACCTGGGTGACCCGCATAACGGCTATCATGGCAATCCCTTAGAATCTCCCTTCTAAGTCCATCCCATGCGGGCACGTACAAACGGTTCCCCTTGGCATAAAGTATCCCATCCTCAAGCCATAACCGTGTTGTCTTGCCTTCCTTCACGAGCTCCATGAACCTTTGGGCTTGACGGTCGTGCTCAAGACCCTTCTTGATGCGATCAACCAACATCCCTTCGGGTATGCTAACGATTGGCGCAAGACACGCCTTTCGGCTTAACGCGTCGGCCACGTGGTTAGTCTTCCCGGCTATACTCAAGCTCGTATTTAAACTCGGCCAAGAAGTCCAACCAACGCGCTTGCTTGCTTGAAAGCTTAGGTTGGCTTTGATGGTAGCTCACCGCCCGATTATCCGTCTTGATCTTGAACGGTGTGGCGGCCTTCAAGTAATGCTCCCAAACTCTAAGGCGGTGAACTATAGCCAACATCTCCTTCTCGTGCGTCGGCCACCTTTTCTCGGTCTCGTTCAGCTTGCGACTTTCAAAGGCGATCGGGTGACCATCTTGCATGAGAACGCCCCAATGGCGAAGTCCGAAGCGTCCGTGCACACCTCGAACGGTTTCTCAAAATCGGGAGAGCTAGGATCGGCTCTCGAGTGACAGCGTCCTTTAAAGCCTCGAACGCTGTTTGGTGTTTTGGTGTCCAACACCAAGCTTGCCCCTTTTCAAGAGATCCGTTAATGGAGCGGCTATGGCGGAGTGTCCTTCAATGAACCGCCGATAGTAATTAACAAGCCCCAAGAACGATCTCAGCTCCGTTGGCTTCGTGGGTGCCTCCCACTCCACGATAGCTTTGATTTTGGCCGGATCCATGCAGATTTTGCCCCACCAATGATGTGTCCCAAGAACGACACCTCCTCAAGGCCGAAGGAACACTTCTCCTTTTAACATAGAGCTGGTTTTCCTAAGGACTTGAAAACGGCTCTAAGATGCTCCACATGCTCCTTCATTGTGTTACTATAGATAACGATGTCGTCCAAGTATACTACAACGAACTTATCAATGAAATCCGCTAGCACACGTTGCATCA